CGAATATTTCATTATATCATCTGAAACATCTCAAAACGCATCGCAACGATGCAGTCATTGACGAAGCTGACTGCAAGAAAAATACGTTGCACAATGTTTGTTTCGGAAGATTGCACGCGAATACCGCTCACCATCTGACAAAGGGCCCTTCCCTCTGTTCTACGATGATTCCCGCACTTTCAATGTGATAGTTGACGAGGATCTCAATATTAAGGGAGAAATTGACTGGGAGCTCCGCTACGCGGCATCCGCCGAGTTTGCGCACTGCCCCCCCTGGTGGTTGTTACTGGCACATCCAGAAGATTGGCCGGCCGGTTTGGCGACTTGTGGTTAACTTCTTGCCTCAATATGAAATCTTCTTGGACGCACTCCGCGAGTGTGAACAGTAACAGATGGCTAATACTCAAGCGCCTAAGGCCGAAAACCTTTAGTCAGAACATATGAAGGAGTCCTTTGAGACTGGACTCTTCTGGTTCTGTCATATCACTCGATCCAGTTTCGGGTTTCATGACCTCTATTGGAACTTTATTGGCGAACGACACTTTGAAAAGTTAGCACTCTAGAGGAAAGTATGGAGCTGTTAACCGAGGCGGAAAGAAATAATCAAGAACCATTAATCCAACTAAAGTTGGAGCAAAAAAAGAAGAAAAGTGTGAGGAGCATCTGACCGTTGAACAGCTTCTCGAAGGATGAAACAACGTTTGGCGAGGAGGGATAATTCACCGTCTCTATCTTGAGGAGTGGTGTTTTAATTAACTATCTAGACCACCAGGCTAGACTGAGACGCGATTTCCGTTTGGTAATATACAATATAAGTTTGGATTTGATCCAAAGTCCCATGGGCTCTGAACCAATGCTTTCAATATCGCATGTGCCTCATCTTCCACTCGTAGATGCGTTCCCTCACCTAACCGCGCAGCTATTTACTCGCCATGATTGAGGGGAACAAACCTATCATACTTCCCATGCCACAGCTGTACAGGTAAGTCGAGGCAGATATCCTCTATTCGAAAGCCAAAGTCAGATGCCACCAACCTGTCATCCTGAGTAACCCCATCAAACCCCTGAGCATAATCTTCCTGTGCTGATCATAAATACAGATGGAGAAAATACACATCCTTAAAAACTTTAAGGTCACTTTCATGGGCTGTAGCCTCAGCTTTAGCCACAAGCTGCTGCGTGAGCTGAAGACACTTCTCACCACTCAGGTCTAGCTGTGCTGCTGGTTCGTGATGGAAAACCACTGGATAAAAATCAGTCAGACAGAGCACCATCCAAAAGTGAATCCAAGCCAGTGGACAAAATCAGCCCCTTTCATGCTGATGTAAGGCGGGCGGCCCTAGACTGCAGACAATTGAAATGCACTTGAGTTTTTCGCGGGGTAACGCCATTGCGCAAGCAAGGGCGTATCGTATGGCCCACCTCCTGATATCCTCTGTTAATACATTAGAGTTAGTTTTAAAGAAATAAAATTTAAGTAAATTAAAACAAATATTTTGACTATTTCGTAAAAACAAAATGTTTCCTTGTACTAATACACAATACTCATCCAGCCCGAGATGCTCTGCAAGGCATTCCAAGTCTTTTGGATGATTGAGAAGTGTTCGATCTGGGTGGGGTGAACTCCAACCACAACCAGGCTGTCTATGGCGATGATACGGACTGCATATTTTTCACCCAGTTCATCAAAAACAGCAGCCTCAATGCGAGAGCCTGGAAGGCCGTGTTGGTAAAGGATAGGCCGCCATGTCAGGGAGCCATATTGGGCATAACCTAGTTTTCGGGCATCTGGGAGGGTCAGGGTGTCTGAACTGTTCTTGGTCCAAGTGGAATTGTGGTTTGGGAACTTCGTCCTTGAGAGCCTCCTGAGAGCAATTGTCTGAGCTATCAGTCATTGTTGTTGCTGTTATTGTACAGTACATGTACTGTAGTTACTTGTAGAGTCCACAGATGGCCTGAGAAGGTACGCTGCTAAATCTGATATTGGAGACATGGGAAAGCGGAAGAAGTTGTGTCGGAGCGAGGGCATGTTAACGATGTGCTCGTCAAAATGTATCTAACCATTCCGGGCATCCTAGGCAAACCAGGAGCTATTTATCATATTCATGCTGAACTGTTGAAACCGCCTGGACTGACTCGTGCGGAAAAGCTGGTTTAGAATTAACTAGGGTGGCTGCGGCTGATATCATTGAGATTGATAGCATTTAAAGATGAAAGTTTCATCCTTCAGTGCTTTGGTGACATCACTAGGTAGGTGTTCAGCGACAAAATTGTAACTCCAGCACGGCAGTTAAACAACAGAAAGCGCTGGAAAAGAATGAAGGTGGCAGAACATCACTGGTAATATCCGGACTCTCTTGTATATCTGCGGGATATGGTTTTAGGGTTAGGGCTAAGCTATCCGGAAAGAGTCCCGCCAAGACAATCCCAGCTCCAGTCCAGATCTTGTAAGTTATTATTAGTTTATTCCAACCGGCGAAGCTTGTCATTCCAAGGCCAATGAGCGGCACCTTTAGAGCTGCCAGCGGGTGGTAATGATATGTTAACCAAACATTTACCATCACTCCACATACTATAGGGAATAGCATGGGAGCAGCAAAGCCCTCACGCGCGGCGAAACGCGCTCCCTCACCGCCGCCCTTACCCTCGAAAACATTCATCATCGACAATGGCGCATATACCATGAAAGCTGGCTATGCGCCTGACCAACCGAGCGCTGAACCTCCCCTAAACTCATGTCTGGTGATCCCCAATGCACTGGCTAGAACGCGCGACAAACGCGTCTACATCGGCGCCCAGCTGTCAACGCATATTTCGGACTGGAATGAGGCCACATTTCGTCGCCCTGTCGAGAAAGGTTATGTGGTTAGCTGGGAAGCGGAGAAGGAAATCTGGGACCATACTTTTTTTGATGACGGGACGGCGCGGAAACCGGAGTTGCGATGTGCAGATCCGGAGAATACGACTTTGATTTTTACGGAGGCCCCGAATGCGATGGCTGCGTTGCAGAAGAATGCGGATGAGATTATTATGGAGGAGTGGGGATTTGGAGGATATTTGAGATGCATTGGTGGGTAGCTCTTCCATTTTTACGCCCGTGATATTTGTTTGCCAATTGCTAAAGATGGTTTGCTTGCTACAGGACCAACGCTCAATGCTTGGAATGAACTCCATGCTCTATTCGGCGACCCGGTGACCTCAGACCCAAACTCCAGTATTTTTCCCGTTGAATGTCTTCTAGTTATTGATTCCGGATATTCGCATACGACTGTTACTCCTGTCTACAAAGGATACCCACTGCAACGAGGCATCAGACGATTAGAGATTGGCGGGAAATATCTTACGAATTTCCTCAAGGAGCTCGTGTCCATTCGGCAGTACAACATGCTCGATGAGACGCACATAATAAACGAGGTCAAGGAAGCCGCCTGTTTTGTCAGCAACGATTTCGCTGCAGACATCGAACGAACCTGGAAAGGGAACCGAAAGCGAAAGGCCGATGATCATGAGACTGGCGCGGGAGAAGGGATCGTTGTGGACTACGTTCTTCCTGACCCAAATGCCCACAAGAAGGGTTTCGTACGCCCACATGAAAGCCTTACAGCGGCCAAGAAGAAGAAAGAACTTCTCTCCGGCGCTTCGGGTACAATGGCGGAAGATGTCTTGGTGCTTGGAAACGAGCGGTTCACTGTCCCCGAAATACTATTCAATCCTGGAGACATTGGGATGAAACAGATGGGGATTCCTGAAATTGTAACGCAGTCACTATCCGTGCTTCCAACCGGTCTACATCCTGCATTTTGGGCAAACATTATGGTGGTTGGCGGCAATTCATTGATTCCGGGCTTTATGGAACGACTGTAAGTTGCGAGACTGGTTGAGATCGCCATTATATATTGGGGAAAAAAAAAAAAAAAAAAAAAAAAAAAAAAAAAAAAAAACAAAAAGTGTTTATCGGGGGCTAACATGTATATCTTCGCAGAGAAACTGAGCTCCGCAAACTTGCCTCAGCCGAATGTGTTGTGCGCGTCAAGCGGCCAGATGAGTAAGTTATAACCTCAATATATTCTTCCCGCACCAAGATTTTAGTTAGCTACATTTTCGCTGGAGACGATAATGATGTATTCTATATTCTTTTTACTAACATGCAATGATAACTTTAGCGCAATACGTTCTACTTGGCTGGGGGCGGCTAGATTTGCAAGCAACAGGGAGGCATTAAAAGAAGTTGCTATTACCCGCCAACAATACCAGGAATACGGCTCAGCCTGGGCGGGAAGGAGGTTTTCCGGGACCTAAGCCGCATGCTGGTGCACAAGCAGGAATTATATACGGGCGGGCGTTTTGTTTGTAGCGCTTCTTGGCCAATTATGAGCGGCTCAGGCCTTGTGTGAGGTGTTGGCGTGAAGTAAATGTACCATGCCCACTACTCAGGAAATGGGTGAATTGCTCCTATTTGATCCCCGCGATATGCACTGCAATTGGAGGGGACATCGACTTCGCCTGGGCTGCGAGTGATAGGCAGTGCGCCCACCTCCGGATAGACACCAGGGTCACCACGTCGAAAATCTGATGATATTTGCGCGCTCGGATTTTCTCTACCAGAGAACCTCCAGTGCTTCTCTGGACACTGGAGAAGGCGTTGTGTCCTTTGAAACGACCCACCAATTGTTTGGTGATGGTGTTGGATCGAGATAATCCCGGCTATGGTAGATGTCATCAATATCTTGTAAGCTAGGGGCCATATCCATTGAGAGAGAGAGAGCTCATCCCTAGAACCAAGGAGGGATAAAGGGAAGCTCCTGATTGATCGCATGATCGCTAATATGCCAGCGGCAGTTGCGCGAGTCTAGTCAGTGAAGCAGCGTTTATTATCATGAATGGGATTTCTTTTCCTTCCCGTTTAAGCTCGCAGGATGTGGGATTTCGAGGCGGACATGGCGTTCTAGTCTTTAAATTTGTGAGACTTCTCTCGAGTGCCTAGGGGAGATTTTACACTATCTAGAAGATTACCTTTGAAGATAATTGTGGCGGGTGGATTCAGATAGATGAATATCAAGCACATCCGATACTTGTTTTTTGGTTCTCCAATTATTCCCCTGTTATGGTAGCCGCCGCATTTATCTACTTCCTATTACCCGGTCAAGTACATGTACATACATTTTGGGTGATAAACAAGTGGGCAAGTAAGTTTCTCGTATACCTTGCCTGGCTCTATTTCTATTCTTTTTTATTTCTAATCGTCTACGCAAGGGGTGAGGCTCGACTCCTCTGCTGGACGGGTCTAAGCCAACCAAGCAGTCACATCATGCGAGTAAACGTCAAGCCATTATCCCAACAACCGACTCTGCCTTTCCAAAAACAACACTTTTGCCCGATCCTCCTCGAAAGTCAATCGCTTTTCTGCCATGACAATCTCCAACTCAATCGGTCCCTCTCGCAAAATCCACTTCTCATTACGACTTTCGCCAGCATCGTCAGCATCTCCCTGTGACTGCGGTGCTAACACCTGTTCATACCACAGATGTTGACCATAGGATTTTCGAAGCGTCTGCACCATCATCACTTCTACAGAACACCAGGCGCGGTGGTGGTAAAGGTCATCGAAGAGGCTGATTACGGCGTCACATTGGACGAGAATCATTGGTAAGGCGGAGACCCCCGGCGCAGGGTTTTCTTGGTCGATGCAGGCGTGGTCCTGCACAGGGGAGAGGGAAGCAAAGAGTTAGAGAGGGTGAATAATTGAAGGAAGATGTGATGACGGATTGGGTTGACTTACTACCCAGATCCCCAATTTCTCCATTTCCACCGAGGGATGGAGTTTGAGAAACTGCTCGGCTGCGGCTATCATTCGACGATATTGCATGTTATCGATGTCGTCTGGTGAAGAAGCGTTTGGTTCCCTATTGATCCATCTGTATGAGAAGAAAATGACAAAGTCCGCTGTACCGATTCGATCATTCCCATTAGGTCTTGACATGAACTCCCGCGCCAATTTGTCGCTTGATCGAGGGAGTTTTCCAAACTTTAAAAAGTCCAGGAATCTCATGAATTTGAGACCATCGAACATTCGTCGTTTCTCATCGTCAGCTGCGAGCTCGTTCGCGTACATATGCCGTAATGACTGCAAACCTCCGCCGCTGAGGAGCGCAGGCCGCATCTTTTCTTGAAATAACTCCCGGTAACCTTTCCGAATCCTCGCCTCCACCTGGAGCTCGTTAAGTTCGTTTTCTACGTCTCCTTCGAGCTTCCGGCGAAGCCCTTCCAGTACCAAAGCTTCAGTTTCTACATCGCCGTTGAAAACGGCGTAATCCAATGCTGTATATCCCTGTTCGTCGACCAAGTCCATGTCCGCACCCACGTCAACCAGTTCTCGTAAATATTGACGGTGCTCTTCGGAGGGCTCTTTGCACAGTGCCATAGCAGGTGTGCACGTCATCCATGGATTAAACTGCTTCAGAGCTTCGTCAAGTTGTTGATCTAGAAGCAACGCCCGGCCATAGAAAAAACGAGACATGGCGACCACCGTTGAATCTTCTGAGCGGCTGCTGAGGTTTAATGACTCTAATGATGTCGCAATGGCCTGTTTGGCATCTCTTTTCGCCGCATAGCAGAGTGAAAGGCGAGATAGGCCGATTGACTCCCAAGTCGTTGCAATTTTTGACAACTCCAATTTTATGTTCAGGTCAAATGATTGAGACTGGATGGTTTCTTTGATATGCCGAGCACTGCGGACGCGCTCATTAAGCTGAGCGATGGCCATCTCTAACAGTGCTTCGTCACCGTTCTGCTGGGAAAGTTGGTAATTGATCATACCTAAATTCCCGACCGCACGACACATCGCATGATCAAACTGCAGCTGCTTTGCTGTGTCATATTGAACCTGGAATGCATGCCTCGCTTCCTCAAGACGATTCATATGCCGATATATCACGCCTAGCTCACCACTGAACTCTACGCGCTGGAGGCTAGATCCCATTTCTTCAACCGCCTGTTCCAGCATTTCCTTGGCCTTCTCATACCTCCCAAACCGCCTGTTGGTGTTCCCAAGCTCCCCTAGTACTAGATGCCGATAAGATGCCAAGCCTGAAAAGTATTCTGTAGATTGGCACATGTTAAGAGCGCTGTTAAACTCCCGTAGCGCGTGCTCCCACTCAGCACGCCGTGCATGTTGTCGCCCCTGATCCATGAACATCTCCCATTCGCGGACAGCATTAACCATGTTTGCAAGAGCGGTCGAAGTAACACCAGAGGCATCACGCAACTGGGTCTTTGATTCGACATCCTTGGGACCCAGCACCCGAGCATCTTTCATGAATCCACGGTGAGAATCGAAGAAAAAAAGTGTAGCATGGAATGCGTCAGGCAATACTTCTGTGCTGTGAAATGCGGCTTCTGGAATAGTGTACGTCGCGTCACGGTGGTGAACTGCCACTTCCTTTGGCGAGGCATGCATCAACACTCGTGTGTTCGTAATGGTGGATGATGCCTGATGTGTTTTATATGCTCTGTCCGTATTCCTCCCGTCATTCCAGGAGAGTTCATACGCTGCGTGGGTGCCCTCCGCAGAAGTTGCAACTGGTTTGACATTGTATGAATGATTCTTTCCCTCACCAGCTAGTATCCAGCTCTGGGCGAAAGGCTGATGAGAATGGATTGCAAATTCGGGATCTCCACGTTGCCCATCCGGCAGCCATACGTGGAGCCGAAACAGCTCAACAATGTGTCCTTCCTCCACCAAGCTGCAGAGCGGAACGGCCAGGAAACCCTGTGCGCTCCTCGATACGCTACCCAGAGGCCGGGCGAGGAGTGGACTAGTAAGCGCTCCATGAATCAGATCCCATGCCAGCGCTAGATCGATGAGGGGAACCTCCCCCCTGGCTCGTCGAGACTTTTCACGTAGAAATGTGACGCCGAGAGTTAAGTTGGCTATGTGTAGCAGCTCGTCCTCTTTTAGGAAATTGGTAACAATGCCCTCATTCCAATCGTCAAAGGAAAGAGAATCTGTCGGGTTGTCTTTTTGAGTTCCGTATAATGAAATCCACTGGGCAATTGGGTCAACGTTGACTGCAGGTGTCTTTGTCGCCACTGCCACCCCTTGAAGCACTCGCAAGAGCTCTGAGCTCGGAATGTAGAAGCTATCGTCGTCAAAACTGAGGTAGTCATCAGTATTAACGCTTGCTGCGCGAGTGGAACCATCACCATTGGCAGAGGGAAGCAGCATAGGCTGGGCTCCGTCCTCTATTTTGGTCATCCCAACTCAAGAAGAGGAGGTTATCGGTACAGCAAATAAATGACAGGGAGAGAGTTATGTCACACTTGTATATCCACTAGATATGGATATAAGTGCTAGAATTTCATTTTGATTTACGGATAGTTAGCCGCTTCAGCTGCCTGCAGGAAATCTTGGTCTGAAGGACAGCCTTGCCTGCCCCAGCAAGCTGATCATTGGTCAGCGTATAAATAATACTATCATTAAGCCAGATTTGGTGCCTAGGCGCACTCTGGTCGATGTATTAGCATACCATACCGTGGACAAGAGCATATTCATTGGGACAGGTGTATCCTCCGAGTATACAACGAGATTCCTGTAGATGAGAGTCAGGCGGCCATTGACGCTTCATTGACGCGGGTACAACCCATTTACCTCCAATCGTATTCCGCAGTCGAGGGCGATGAGGCAGCTTCCCAAGTGGCATTGAACTGCCTGCATGTGGACAGAAGTGCGCGGGGAGTCATGATTGGAATGGGTAGTGTTATTGTGTCGACAGTGATGACGGTTGAGCTTTTGATGATTTGATACAGTCATGAAATGAGATGAGATGGCACCTCCTGCTGGCGTTCGTTTCTACGTTTCTATATCTCTTTAAGGAATTCGCCTCTCATATTGTAAGATAGTTATATCTGTATATTCCACCTATGTGTACTCCGTAATGTGTATGGATATAATATTGATAACGGTCGTGAGAGACTACATTAAAATGACGGCCGTCCGTACTCCACGATTGCTTTTAGATCTGAAGAACAATACTTCTTCTCTACTTCCCTTCTTATCCTAATTTAGTTCTCACGCAGACTTCTTAGCATTATCAGACGGCGAGGGGCAAAGTTCGAGAGGATCATTGTATAGTTAGTTACTAGTTAACGTTACTAACTAACTAGTTATGCATTTTGGCGGAGCCCCTAAAAGTAACTACGAGGTCTAAACTCCATAGTTAGCGGGGAGAGACCAACACGGATAACTACCGTTATTTAACCAATAATGGTCTATGGATGTTTAGTTGAGCGATATTCAAAGATACATACAATAACTAAAGGCATTCATCTGGCGATTAAAGCTAGTTAGCTTGTTGCCTAAAATAGAACACAAAGTCACAACATGTTCCTGCCCGCCAGAAAACGTGGGCGGGATACATCAGAATACACGTTCTAACCCTAACAACCTTGGAGTAAGAGCACTGCCCCGAAAGCAGCAATTTAATTGATTAAACCATCGCTGCGATCGATGCCCGTTCGTGACTTGGACAACAATAATAATGAATAATAATGAGACGAGCCCTTGCTGGGGCTGTCTTGAACGAAGCCTTGTCCCAAGCACACAGCATCCTCTCTAGTTTCTGGTCCCTCCCTCACCTCAGTGACCTCACCTCCCTACAGCCACCATTCTCTCTCGCTGACTCTGCTCGTACTCCTCGAGATAGGCCTTTGCCGGCGGGTGCCATATGCCTGTCATGCACGCTCTTTTTGAGCAGTAGTAGGGCTGCCCAGAGGAAGAAGGCCCAATGCGGCTCAACTCCTGAACTGCCACGGTTTCTTTGTGTGCTCAAAGACCTGGTATTTAACAGCCCCCGCAGACGCAGATCAGTTCTCTTCATCCGCTTGTTATGACTACACCCCTACCTACACAGTACATCTTGTGTTTGTTTTCTTGCCGGCCACCTCAGCAAATAATTTTCAGATCTCCTGGCCCTTTTCGGCTGGCAGCTTATTTAAATATATTGTATGACCTATGCGCCTCAAACTTGAGAAAGTTGACGGAAACATCCGCGCCGTTACCGGTCAGGTTCCTCTCGTTTCTGGCTATGATTTAAAATAAACACCCCCCCTTGCGAGGATTTATTCTATTATCCCTCATCTATTCTCTCTGAATCCGTCTGGATTTCAGCGCATACTAGACATGACGACACCCGTCCCTTCCACCACAGAGAGCAGCCGTATCCCCGCCTCAAGGAAGATCGACAAGCGCTCCCGTCTACTAGAATGGCCCCGGCTGGCGGGGCTGGGCGAGCTGGACGTGAAGGCAGAACAGCTCCAACCACTTCACTGGCTTGCGCACCCATTTCCTGCGGAACTCAAAGGCACATTAGACACCACCCCTCCAGATATCATAACTATCGTTCATCAGTCTTTAGCTGTTGATCTGTACAGGAAAAAGGCTCCTTCTTCTGGTGATGGCGGGTCAGATGCGCACCTGGCTGGGGATCGACGGTCGCTCATGTCCGATTCACAGTACAGACCACGAAACGGTTCGACTTCCCAGCTATCTCGTTTGTCATCGTTGAACAACTCTGATGGCAGCCGATCGCCCTCGAAGCTCTCGATGGACTCGGGGTCTATCAAACGCCCTTTAGGCTGGATCGCTAGTAAGACGCCGAAACCTACAAAGGGGCTTAGGGATAGATTAAGAGAGCGCAATACATTCAAGTATGTCATCTTTATAACCTTTGAGGCTCGATTACCAACAAGTTTCTCTTTAGGGAATGTTCGAGCTGTTTTGACGATATATTGGATAAGAATCTGATCACCCTGAATTGCCAACATAAATATTGCCTGGGATGCTTTTTGCAACTCGTCAATACCGCAATGGCCACCGAAAGGCTCTTCCCTCCAAAATGTTGTCTTGAGGAGATACCGCAGCGAATTATCCTTGATAATTTGGACCACACTAGAAGAGACGCATACAAATTGAAAGTGCAGGAATACGCTCTTGCTGAACCGAATCGAGTATATTGCCCTGAACCGTCATGTGCGAAATGGATACCTCCGAACAAACTCAAAAAGGGCAAAAAGCCTACTCAAAAGAGCTGTCCATATTGCCGCGTTGAGATTTGTACCCTCTGCCGAGGGCTAACGCATGCAAACCTTAATGACTGTCCCCAAGACCATGGATTGGAGGCTACACTGGAGGAAGCCGAAAATCGCGGCTGGAGAAGATGCTACAACTGCCATTCTCTAGTTGAGTTGACTGCTGGTTGTCGGCATATAACTTGTAAATGTGGATCGGAGTTCTGGTATGACCATTTGACAAATTTCCCAATATTACTTTGTAGTATTTCTTACCGAGACTGACACGTTTGTTTTACAGCTACACATGTGGAGCTCGGTGGCGGACATGCGAATGTACGGAAGATGATCAACGTCGTAGGCAAGGTGATATCGAGACACGCCGGCTCGAGAGGGATCGACAAATGCAAACCGAGGCTGCTGAGATCGCAGAGGCGATTGCCCAGATCGAACGCATGGAGCTCGAGGAAGCCAGGAAGAGAGAACTGAGGGAAGAAGAGCAACGCCGCAAGGAGGAAGAGGAGCTCCGCGATAAAGAAGTTAAGCGGATGCTTTATATCGCCAATAGACTATGGAGCTTACGCACTGCGCTATCAAACGTCAATGAGTCTCAACAGACCCTACTTATCAAACGACATGAAAAGGCTGTGCATGACCTCCAGATCAGGACCATGGCGGGCTCGTCAGAGGTCAAGGAACAAGAGGAAAGGCTCCTAACGGGCCTAAGAACAAACCAAAAACAACGCATGGATCAACTACTAGCTTTGCAAAAGGTAGAAGTCGACAGCATCACTACCCGCCACGAAGAAGAGGAAGACGAGGCCTTCCTCACCATCTTCCGCCATCTCAAAGGAAATGCCAACCGCGAGAGCAGAGAGAAAGCCATCCTAGGTAAACTCAAAGCCGACCAGGAGAGCGAAATGCGCACCCTTGAACAAGCCCATCAGCAAGCAATCCTTACCCAAGAGAAAACTAACAACCTCGAACTAAAAGCCCTTGAAGCCGGACTAGCACGCGACTACACCTCAACCCGCGAAGCGGAGCAGGACACCGTCTCCAAGCTGGTGCAGAGGGTCATCGTCGATCGCAGTTGGTTTACCGCGGCTGTCGAGAAGCGCTGGAAGATGCTCGACGAATACAGAACCAGACTGATAGACACAGGCGTGGATATCGTGGAATTGCCCGCCGTGGAAGTCGTGCCGAATCCTGTGGAGCTGCCTGCCGACTCGGAGTTTGGAGATGCGAACATTGAAGCGGTTCTTACGCCAACCCAATCTAGCCCCGCCCTCGTACTCGTCCCTGCGCCAGTACCAGTGCCTGTAACATCTCTTCAGCTGGAGCCGAAGCTGCCACATCCTCAGCTTGCTGTTGTAGCCCCCGTGAAACCGGAGAGGGCCACGGCGGCAGTTCAGGAGCCTCCAATACAGAAGAAGAAACGGGGATTTTCGCGGCTGGCGGGTCAGTCGCCGTATTCGCTGTTGGGATGATGGGCTTGTCTTTTGGAGTGTGTATTTTTTATTTTTTTATTTTCTGGTTTAAATCTTTCTTTTGCTTCGTCTTCCTTCTTGTTTCCAGCCGTTCATATTTCTCGTTTGTCTTTCGCGATCTGATGGGCGCCTATTGATACTGTTTTAGATTCACACACACACACACACACACATATATATATATATATATCTCCCCTGTGAGCATCTGTTTGGGTTCTTGCAGTTTAAGTTTCATCTTTATTTCTTCCCTTGTTTCACCTTGTTCCAGCATTTGTATTGAGTCTGATTATTTACGGAGTCAAGTTAATCTTCTTTATAAATCTCAATATTTGGATACATGAGAAACGTACTTCGACTTGCCTCCTGTCTATATAAGTCAGACGGAAGGCGGCTGATATCCATCTTAGTTTGATGTTGACATTTTATTATACATTCAACTGACTCTTATCATTTGGCTCTCCAGTGTGCCTTATGTTGTTGTCTTTGCAGCATTGTGCTTTCTTTTCCCTCCTCCTTTTCCAGCGTTGAAACCATACGTAGAGGGAGACTGGATTTCTTTGATGTTGGAAGTTCTATAAAGAACTGTTGCCTTGAAAGTTTTGTGAGTGTGATGAAATGTGCGGAGATAGAAAAAGGGGTTCAGGTGCGTGCGAGTATCGGCGAATGACACGGGGAATCACAACAACGAAAACGGAAATAAATAATAACACGGTAAAATAATCATGGGGGTAAAGGACATATTTGATACACCTCTCTCTACCAGCTATGTTGTTGGACTTTTTCAAAGGTTCATATTTTTGCGGTTGTAAAAATGAAGGGTAAAACAGGCTAACCCCTAAATCAATCTGTTTTATATCTATCAAACACCGAAGTCTGTACTCAATGGTTGTCATCACTTTCAAGTGTCCTCATCCTATTTGGTAAAACGCCCTCTACAGCCCTCTCTTAGCTCCAGTGGCCGGCGTGCAACACTGGAGTCACGTCTGCGGAAAGGTAAATATAATTTTGTCGCATCTCGATCTTCCTCCTAAGTGAATGAAAAACAGATACAGAGCTAACTAATAGTTATATTAAGAACCAAGAACGTCGTACAAAATAAAATGCAGGCTACCAACAAGAGAAAGGCAGCGGATGAAGAAGAGGGGCAGCAACAAGAACATGGCCACCAACGACCCCGAAAGTGGCCAGAACGCAGCAGTAGGGCTTCAGATATCAACTACGACGTCCGCGAATACTACCGGGGAATACAGCTGGATGAGAAAATCTATTCCACATCGTCTCAAAAGAAGGACATGCCACGCAAATCTGGCCCTGACGGTACTAGTCATATCGACGCCCAGCTTGCAGCAGCAACATGCACACCACCCGCGCAGCGCGCAGTCATGCCTACGCTGACGTGGGAACCATGCTTTGAATGTATCCAGGAATTATGTCGGAATCCGAGAGAGATGAAATGCCGGCCTGGGCCATGTAACTCGAAATGTCGCCACTGCGATGCGACGTACAAGGCGTGCTTGAAGGTAGGTTTTCGAGTGAGCATTCTTACATTACATCCTTCCCAATTCCCCTGAATATTGTTTTATCCCTCCAGATAAAACGTGTTTGCAACAAAAATGAAAAACAGATGACAAAAAGAAAGGATTGCTAAACTCTCCAAAAAAGATCCCTCAAGCCCTCGGGCCTCGGGCCTCGCCTGGCCAAAATCCAGACAATCGCCAGCTCCATCATCACGACCCCGAGCGCACTTGGCTGGCCTGATGAGGTCTCCCGCCGGGAAAAGCGTCTAAGCGAGGAGTTCACTATATTCCAAGAAGAAATGGAAACGTACATCGCTGGTGCAGATATGGCAATTTCTCCTCGTGCGTCTCATTATGTTTCGGGCGTTTCTGGGTCTAAAGTAACTGTTGGAGCCCTCGTCAGCGCAACGGATCCTACCCCAACTGCCATTGGCGGTGGGGCTGGAAGTGTCAAGACCCCTGATAAACCTTTGGTGATGGCTACACTGTCCTCTCCCTTCAGAGCAGTGAAAACTGAATCCCCACCCGGCTCGTCCCCTTATTTTAAGATGTCGCCTACAGCTAAAATGCTGATTATGCCGCCCAACATGACCGATAAAGCCACAGTCACCAGCTCTCCTCCCCTCTTCGCTCATTTTACAACCAAAGGCGATGGTAGCAATGGTGACGGTGATGGTGATGGCGATGACCTCAAACTCCCTACACCAACCCCCTCCCCTCTAGAGCTTGGCCAGGATCCAGCTCCTGCGGCTCAAATGGAGAGCAAGCTCCGTACTGCCACTGCTGAAGCAAATACAGTCGCCCCTTCCATTAAGGTAGCTACGGAAGAAAATGCCACAGGAGGAGATATCCAGGCAGCCAGCACTGATTTGAACGCTACCTCTTTCAATCTAGGTGCTAAATTGTTAACCGTCTTGGGATCCATTGAAAGCAACTTGGCCCGGATCGCGGACACATTGGAGGTGAAGAATCGTCGTGGAAATGGCAGTGATGGTGACTGTGGGATTGGTGGTGAGATGGTTGCCAATCGGGCGTATTGGGAGTGACTAATACATTAAATATTGAAGGATAGTTGGTGGTGCAGATTAGTTTTGCCTTTCTTTTTGTCTCTCTTTTTCTTTAGTTATTTTTGCCTTAGAGTTCATGGTGTTGGACAAATTGATGTCTAAACAGGGGTATCCGGATCCGGACGTGTTTTGAACAGAATAATAGCAAGGTGAATGTATTGTCAATTTTTTGATTTTGGTTTGCGAAATGGAGTAAGGATAGATCTCCAAATATTTCGAAAATGCGAGCGACTTGTATCTATCTGGCCCCGGTGAAATGGAGGGAGCCCCAGGAGTGGATTGCGGTAACACAAGGATAATGCACGAATACTTGAAAACATAACATAACATAACAAATTTTATACCTTTATTTCTATATACATGTTATACACGCACCTGGTTAAAAGAAAAAGGTGTTCCAAGGGGGTTGGGTTTCAAACCCATTGCGTTGACTCAAGTCGAAACATTGCCACCATGAGCCCATCCACTATTTTCCCAAAACGAAATAATCAATTAATAGTCGTAAAAGCCCTTGGAGGTCTTCTTGCCCATCCAGCCAGCATCAACCATCTTCTTCAGTAATCCCGCAGGGCGATACTTGCTATCACCGGTCTCGGTATGCAGCACATTCATAATAGCCAGGCAGGTATCCAAACCAATGAAATCAGCCAGCGTCAGTGGACCCATGGGCACATTGGTTCCGTACTTCATGATGCTGTCAATATCTTCCCTAGTGCCAATGCCGTTCTCGAGACACATGATGGCTTCATTGATATATGGCATGAGGATGCGATTCGCGAGGAAGCCTGGCGAATCAGTGGAGCGGGCAGGAATCTTGCCCATGCGCTTGACGAACTCCATGGCCGTGTCGATGGTGTCTTGGGACGTTTGCAGGCCTGTGATGATCTCCACGCCCTTCTGGACGGGGACTGGGTTCATGAAGTGGGTGGAGATGACGCGCGAGGAGGCGGAGAGGTCGGTGGGATTTTCGGTGGTCGCGGCGGCGATCTTAGTGATGGAGATAGAGGAGGTGTTTGTGGCGAGAATGGCGTGGGAGGGAGCGATTTTGGCCAGCTGGGAGAAGATGGATGCCTTAAGGGCTGGGATTTCGGGGACGGCTTCTATAACGAAGTCTACGTCGGAGAGGTCGGAGAGGTTGGTGCTGGGTTTAAGCATCGAGCGGACTTGGGCGGCATGGTCTTTGGTAATGCGCTCTTTTGCGACATCTTTCTCGAGTAGTTTGTCTATTGGGTTTTCGGAGTTAGAGGTCCCAATCCGCAATTATCTGGGTGTGTTTCCAATTTGCATGAAGCTTACCTGCGAATTTCATACCCTTATCGAGAGACTCTTGAGAGTTATCAATAAGGGTTACGGGAACGCCAGCCTTTTGGGCAGCAACCAGTGCGATTCCCAGACCCTATTTCACAGCATGTCAGTATCCAGTTCGCGATGTATGTAATATATTCAATGCTTAATGCTTACCATCTGCCCAGCTCCGATAACTCCCACCTTCTTCACTTCCCTCGCTGCCTGGGCAATTGGGGTTGTGCTGAAGGATCTGGCCATTGAAGAGGCCCCATTGGCGATGCGCCGTCCTACAATAACACGGAACATTGTGACGGGTGACTATGAGACCAGAGATAGAACAGTTCACCGCATGACAAGTGTTTTGTATAGCTTCTTGGTTGGATGTGGCTCTCTGGAAATAAAATATGCCGTCTCCATTTCATTTCGGCCCGACCAGAGTTCCTCGGCGTTCTCGGGGATGTGCGAAATCACATGACAAAGTGACGTAGTTTTCGGCATAAATTAGGTTATTCTCGGGGACAGGATTATCTAGAAATTCCGGTCCGAGATTCGTCAGTCGGCGCGTCAGGAACGCGTCTTCCATGACGCGAGAAACGATTGGATATTGAAATTCAATGACGAAGGGAGAACGGCCTGGAAGACAACAATCAGAAATATGGTGCTCGAGATATGACATTGATGCCCCATTAACAACAGCATCCAAATAATATGGAGTCAGAGTCTGTCCAGCCAGTCCAGGTGGTGGATCCTGAAGTCCGCGCTTATGTCTACAGCCTTATCACTGCGGTGTGTCTATCTTAGAAGAACCTCCAAACCACCCCATTGATCATTGAAATTTAATGGAAAGCTGATAAAATTACAATAGCTTGGAGGCTCTGGGAGTAGTGATATAGGCAAATATGTCTTAGGAGACGATGCGCTCGCGTGCTTGCGCGATATCAAAAGATGGCTGAAGTTTTATGACGAGAAAGCGAACCGCATGGACGTGGCTAGGTGTTTGGCCGAAGCAAACCTGGTGAATCGAGACTTGATTCCCATTCTCACACTTTGGGGGGATGATATACATGATGAAAAGCACAAGTCGCGAATTGCGTTGGCATGCTGTAAGCAATTTGCGCTTTCCCTTCCCTTTTCCAAACTTCGTAATTTAGTGACATCCGCTGATATGCTTCATTTTAGTGGAATTGCTTGTTCCCTTGACATGGCCGCTCGAGATTCACAGCCAGATGACGGTCAACCACCATAGACATACACCATACTTGCAGCAGTCGCAGGTTTTGTATAAGCGCGGGATTCTTGGAAATGATACCACAGCCATTCTACGAACGATTATCCGTATTGCATTGCCAAGCATGACAACTCCTCGGTCAGACCGTTCCTCGCGAGACGAAGGGATTCTAAAGTTAATGCTATACCTATTCAGAAATCTTGCTATAATAACACCCTCTCCACATCTAGCTAGAGAGGGCGATGAGGAAGAAGCATCAAAGTCTGCCACCATAAACGCCTTTCAAGAACAAGATGTATTTGCCCTTCTATTAACAATGTGCTCCAATATGGGAGAAGATTTTGTTTTCCAGGACGTCGTTATTCTGGAGATTCTATTCCATATTGTCAAGGGTGTCGATATCGAGAAGCTGTTCATGAATGATACTCAACGAAGCATTGCCGGTACGGATGATCTTGAGGCTCTCCTAGACAAGGAATCACATTTGAAGCGGGAATACGCCAAAACTGCCCCTACAAGGCACGGACGATTTGGCACCATGATCTGGGTGAAACGAGATGATGAAAAAGTATCCACCGTTTCGGGTCAGGACGTACTAAAAGACGATTGGACGACAATGTTGAAAATGGACAAAACAAAGAAGTGGAATAGGCCGAAACACAGAAGGGGAGGTGTTGATATGTCGGTTAATAACTTTAACGTCCCCTCCCCCTTAACACCATCGGCGACCAAAAATTTACGAACATTTGTTGAGGAGTTTTTGGATTCTGGTTTCAACCCACTCTTCTCACATCTCCGCAAAGCCATTGAGCGCGAGGCCGACCGCGTTACCGAGTCCACACCTCGCCAATTCTTTTATGTAATTTCCTGGTTCCTCGAAGCCGAGAGGGTTCGTCGAACCCGTCAACAAGAACTTCGTCAGCAGAATCCAAACCCTGCGAGGGACATTGAACCGGATAGTTTTCAGCTTGTTGCTAGCGTCCTCAACCAAGAAACCTTTATTGCTCTAAATAGACATATGCAGAACTGTTTAGATTTCAAGGATTGGCAAGACCTCAACGCTAGTATGCGGTGTTTCACACAAATCCTTCTAACAGTACAGCAAATGTTCCATTCTGACATCAGTGAAGATCAAGATATTGCAGAAAATATCTTGAGCAGAATATTCTATGAGGAAACAACGCATGACAGGATATTGACTATATTGAGGGGCTACGAAAGCCAAGGGTTTTGGTATTTGGATGCTTGCACTGAACTGGCCCATGTCTTCCTTCGATTATTGGAACAGTACTCGAAGCAGAATGAACATATGCAGATTCGATCCCGGCGACGAGCTAGGCGGAAACAACGTAAAGAAGCTGTTGCCAATCCTGAAAACCCCGAAACTCAAAATCATGATGAGTCTGAAGCCGAAGACTTGGCCATGGAAGATGCAACTAGAACGATAGTTGAAAGATCTTTTGATTTTCGACGTTTTGCGGCCAAATTCTGCACCCAAAAATCTGTCAACACATTCCTTGCTTTAACTACGCATTACAGAGAGCTCAACGAGGAGCAGTTGAAACGAGCACACCGATTTTTCTACCGTGTGGCTTTCAAGCAAGAGTTAAGCGTCTTGCTCTTCCGTGTGGATATAATTTCGCTATTTTACAGGATGATAAAGGGTCCAGGGGGTCTTGATTCGGCAAAGTCGGTGTATGCTGAATGGGAAGAGCTCACACGACGAGTTATCAGAAAGCTCATTAAGAAATTAGAACAACGCCCAGAGCTTATCACTGAAATGCTATTTAGCAAAATTAACGCAACTGTCTTTTATCTGGAGTATGGCCACGAGAGACAGACAGTGTCTAACTCAAAGCCAGCGGCTGAGTTGGAGGTGAAACCCGGTGCTGCCACAACCCTAGATTCTAGATTGGGGATTGTTGTAGCTGCACTACACCTGGAAGGAAAGGAGAACCTAGTACAATGGCTTGTTAAAACGCTTGATACCGCAGTAAATGAAAGGAGATGCTGGGAGCTTGAAGCAGAATCTAGGCAAACCGAATCTGGCGGGGAGCATCCTCCCAGCCCACCTTCAATAGGTATGTATAAGATATCGATTCCGCACGATCAAATATATGTTGACAATTTTCGTTAGCTGTTATACCCCTTGATGATGCGTGTCGTACTGCCTTGTTCAAAAATGGACGCCTCCGCCTCCTAATGACATTGGCTGGATTTGAGAGGCTGGGTGTTGAGGACACGCTGGATTCCTCGTGGATAATCCCATCATCGTTATCAGCCAAAACTTTAGAAGAAACCCAAAAATCAGTTGAGAAACACAGTGAAAACCCGCCAACTGAATTTGACGGGCTGGAACCTCGCGATTTACTGCGTCGAAAACGGGACGTCGACACTACGATGCCGTCCCATGGAAGACCACAGGGTGAGGTTGATTTTGGAAACGACTCAGAGGGGGAGGACGATATTGATGGTATCTTATTCCCGCCAAATCTTCGCATTCGGACCGGCACACTAGACGAGCTTAAAAAGAAGCGACTTAGACGAGGGAAAAAGAACAAAGAGGATGGTGATGGCCCGGACGAGGCGGCGCTCGAAGCGCGTCGTCTGGCACGACAGGCGAATGCCTTGGAGCGCCAAAGAAAGATCAAAAGCAGTTTATATATCAATGCCAGCGATGAAGAGTCGGACGAGGAAGCCGATAGGGAGTTCTTCGCGCGAGAGGAGGAGAGGAGAAAAAACCAGGCGAGACGCATCAAGCAGGCTTTATTATCAGGTACAGCCGGGGGTGATAAAGCAACTGGCCAAAAATCTTCCAGCAAAGGACGGAAACGGAAAAGTACTGCTAATGGCGACGAAAACAATAAACGTCAGCGCAGCGATCCTCTGTTAGATAGCGATGACGAAGATAACGCAATTAACATTGACAATCCTGAGGATGATGATGACGAAGACGTCATGATGGCCACTCAGGAAACACCATCATCATCCTCCGAGACTGAGTCGATATCCATGGCTCAGCCTGAACGAAGGAGCGAAAATACCACGCCGCCAACTTCCACCGAACGCAATCCAATATTCGGCATGAATGATGATGATTACTTTGATAACCCGTTTTACTTCGCTAGTTTGGCCGACAAGGACAAAACTGGGGGAGACAAAGGGGTTGGGAGTGACGGAAGGGAAGAGGAGGAGCAGGTCAAGATGCCTGCACGACAGCGGCGCATGCTTGGCGCGTTCATTATTGATAGTGATTCTGAGTCGGAAGTTGGGGAATAAATAGTTGGCGTCTGTTTTTCCTCTGCCGCTGTCTCTGACCTTTGAATCTTTTGTCTCTACGAATGCGATACCAGGTTCTTGTTTTGCTGTCGTTTTTCACTGTCATTGTAGGCGCGGGAATAGGGGGATTTTTGTCTTTTGTTAGCGTGTTCGTAAACCACCATGATAATGTTTATACGTACTCTGCAATTTTTGTAGTCATTAGGAGTGAGCTTTTTTTTTTTTTTTTTTCAGGGGCAGAGTTGTTGTTGTTCTGGACGTTAGTAGAGAAAAGGCAGGAGGACGGCTGAGCTGTCAGTTTTATATATGACATTAATCGGCAACCTACTCTGTATATTAGCCGCAGTTTATTCACCAGTGCCTCAAAGTTTTGCCGTGTCAAATCTATTGTATCATTTTCATTTCCCTGCGTCATAGATGGATAAAGAGCGGAGCAGCGGTGGTAACTAGCAATTGCCTGCTAAAGCGATTTAGCACGCCCTATGATAGACAAGTTGCATCCTATCTATCCAGTTAGCTTGTTCTCTCTAAAAATAACCCCAGCTTCATAGTTCTCTTGACGCTAATCGCTCCTTTGATATAAATCTAGCTAGACGGATTTTACTGTAGGAAAATATTTCCATAGGCTCACAATGGCTATACTCCATATCATTGTACGATCTGTTTAAATAGTGAAATCTCTAACTGAGGGTAAACTTCGAGGTTCGAGAAGGGGGGATTTAAGCGACTTTAAACATTTTTCGCGGGGGTATTCGTCTCTCCACATTATAACTAGTTACTCAGTAGTTACCCGCTCCAAATATTGTTTGTGAAGGACATATATTTCTCTCAGGTGGGATATATTGCGTCTGTCGACCACCCCAAGTACGGACTGTTCCAATAACATCCGGATTGACACTTATTCCTCCAAGCATCTTAAACCAGAAATAAGCCCAAACTTTTCACAATGGCACAATCCCTCCATTTCGTTACCCTTGATGTGTTCACCAGAACCCCCTTCGCTGGTAACCCCCTGGCTGTAGTCTTCCTCTCCGACAGCGTTCCCATAACTCAAACTCAAAAACAAGCAATTGCCCGCGAGTTTAACTTCAGCGAAACCATCTTCGTTCATCCCTCGAAGGGTCCCGAACAGCCCCGCACCATAGATATCTTCACCACGCTAGCAGAGATTCCATTTGCTGGCCACCCGACCATCGGCGCAACATCATGGCTGCTGCAGCACGCCAAGTCAAGTAATAGTAATGAGGCTCCTCCATCAACTATTACCACCAAGGCCGGAGATATCCACGTCTCCATATCCACGGAGGACCCCACTATGGTCTCTGCGTTCATTCCGCACAACGTGCATATCCACTCGAGAAGATTTGCTCTGGCGGATCTGCTTAAACTGCATCCATCTATGGAACCATATCTCGGCAGTGCGCACGCAGACGGTTTCCCTATCGTCTCGGTTGTTAAGGGTATGACAGCTGCACATGTCCAGTTACCCAATTTGGAAGCATTGGCTACAGCAACGGTAGCCAGCGGAAATTGTAGCTTCCCTGCGATAAGCACGGAGGCGGGAGGTTATTTTGACCCTGGCTGGGACGCGGGAATACCCCTTCATGTATATTTCTTTGTGAAAGACGTATGGGATGAGGTGCGGAAGACAAATGTGATTCGCAGCCGCATGTTTTTTGACACTACTGAGGATCCGGCGACTGGGAGCGCTGCGAGTGGGCTTGTCTCCTACTTGGTGCTTACGGGGCAGGGAGGCGGGACCGGGAGTGGAAACGAAAAGGAGACGTTGTTCCATGTTGTTCAGGGGGTGGAGATGGGGAGGAGGAGTGATATTGGACTGAAGGCTGTGTTAAAGGATGGGGGTAAAGAGGTCGATAAAATCCAATTGAGTGGTAGCGCCGTGAAGGTGTCTGAGGGAGATATCGTCGTCGGAGCGGAATAGGGGTTGGAGTTCCACACATCCCTTATATCTTGGGTGCCATTTTAGGTTAGGACTGTTTGTCACTCTGGCTCTTTTATTGAAGAGCACAGCACAGTGAATAGTGCTCTTTTTTTGTCTGTATTATGTGGTGTAAGGATGCCAACTACGGTGGAAGTCAGACGAAGCCAAACATACTTCCTAAAGCAGTAATATGGGACGTCTACCAGAGGAACATGACTTCTATCATTTTCACGTCCACAACAACACTTAACACTTTGTTTTTCTTTCAATTCCACATTTCTGTGTTTAATGTTTATATTTGAACTAACAATATCATATCTCTTTCTCTGGAGTTTATAGTCCTATTATTCTCCCTAAAGTCTTACGACCTGTCTAAAGATCCCGATGATAGCAAACCTCCTCACCCATACATCTAACGTAAACAAGATATATACATACCCTGAAGGTCTTCGAGTGCTTGCGCCTAAGCCAAACAAACATGCCTCTGGCACGATATCCTGCCTCCTCCTCCCCCCATCTATATGCCTGTCCTCGCAATTCTAAAGACAACGGCGCTTCCCAGGATTGTCGACGTAAGTCGTCCCTAACAAAATCCCTCCAAGCCTTCGCAAGGAATACATTTCATCGCAGGCAACGTCACACAAACGCCGGGGATTCAAGTTACGGTACGACCCCTGCAACGTCGTTCACGAGCAGCCCATGTCCACCCAGCCCAGGAGTTTCACAGTTGCGATCTGAAGGGGCCATGGCACCCGTAACACACACCATGGGGAGGGCATCATTGATACCATGGGCAAATTCAAGGGATCAAACCCAAACATTGATGGGAGTAACCAGTTCCGTTAAGGATAGCCCGGGTCTAAACGGAAAGCCAGGGAGCATGGACCTCCAGCAACCTGGACCAGAGGAACCAAGCATCTCGCATAAGAACCCATCTGAACTACGTCAGACAAACGGAGGAAAACAGCGTGTCAAATGCGGGACATTAAAAGAGGGAAGAGCGCAATCCCAGGTGTCACGAATTCCATTGCCCAGTCCCCAACTAGACAGATATCCTAGAAGAAATACAAACGCGGGGCTCCCGCTTCCGAAATCAACCACGTTTTTCTTTCCTTTAGTAGCCTAAGACATGGATCATCTTTGTCGCACCACCAATCACGATCAAAAAACAAGAGGGCTTCACATGAACAATCAGGCCCAGAGCAGCAACATCAACAGCAGAAGCAAATAGGGGGAATGCGGCAGAAACCGACAAATGCAGCAAACGCACAAATAGCACAAATAGCCAATAATCCGCCAGCTGGATCCTTCGGATCACAGCATTGTTTTTCTCCCAAGCAACAGCCATTATTGGGCCCAAAAGGGCGCTCATTGCCAAAAAGTCTGACAGCTATAAACCTGGCATCATATTCTAAACTTCCTGGCTACTCTGCACCCACCGAAAGCTTCATTAATCGATACCAGAGAAATGCTCGTAGCAAGTACAGTATCTTTAATGATTGTGAAGATACAGCATCTTTAAGGAGCTTTAGAGGTCGAAATAACCCCCCAGATGCTGCGATAAAGGATGCTTGTGTCTCGGATTTACAGCAGCCAACGAACTTGAGAGAGCAACGCCCAATGGAGGAACTCATCTCCCCGTGTCCCTCGCCTAATAATGGCGATGACATCCAAACCGTAAGTCGGGTACCTCTTTTCGTACCCCTAGAATTGTAATGGCTCAATCTTGTGCATCGCGCTAACAACGGAACCCCTTGATTCCCTAGGTCACCACCGCCCAACCACGCCAGTATTGGTTAGGTCGCTTCTCCACCTTGGTCAATGCCTTCCACCACGAAGACTCATTCAAAGAGGAATCAGACGCGGCCACAGGATATGACAGTTCAGCTGCACTAGCATACTACTATATCACTTCATCCTCCACCGCAACCCTGAACGACCAACGGGCCAAGCGCGCTTTCGATTTTTTGGAAAACGCCTGCTCAACTGCTGAGGCACGAGTAAGCTTCCTGGAATTTCGAGACGCCTATTCAAGATGTTTTGGTAATCGGTGGTCCAAGTGGTTCGTGCGTGATGCTGGTGTTGGTGCTGATGCTCGTGCTGCTGGAGGTAAGCAGGGGTACCGTGATAGTACGGCGGATCTAAGTGATGGCACGCTCATATCGGATAGGGAGGTGGCTGATAGGAAGCGGAAATGGAGTGAGGGTGGGACTCTGACAGGCGGTGGTATTGCCGGCGCCGGAGGGATTGGATTGATGAATATGTTTAGGACGGTTCGGAAGAGTTTGGCTTGAGTGGTGCGATTTGTTTCTTGTTTCTTTTTCTTGGTTTCCAAATTTCTGTTGATTTTTGCTTTTGCAAACTAATACCCCTCATTGGACGATTCACGAAATGCTTTGTGATGTTCAGGATTTTTATTTCGCATATTTGGTTCGGACCCGAAACGCAATGAGAGCTAGGGGACATGGGTTAATAAAGATTGGAGTGGATCTCGTGCTATTGGGCTTTGCTTTTGCTTTTATTCCTTTTAGCATTGCAACGAAAATCGTTAGTAAAGTCGGGGCTTCATACACGCGAATTAGGATGGAACGGAGGAGTTATTGGATGTCCCTAATCCGCTTGGTTCGAAGAACGATGTCATGGATGTGAAAACGTAGATATTGAAATAAGACGAAAACCGAGCTTTCTAGGATATCGAAGAAGGAAAAGCCCAAAATAAAATCCTTCTAGGATAATGCCCGCAAACGCCTTTCCTATATTGTGACAAAAAAAGGGGGCAGGATGTCTTGTGCCGAAAATGGAAAAAAAGAAAAGCAACAAAAAGGCATAACCTACCCCGTTAAAGAAAACAATCAAAGCTTCAAGATATCTTTTAGCTCCACCTGTATGGAAATCACCTAGGTTCTTCCAGCCCTACTCCTTAAATACGCCGCAACCTGCTCATGCCGCGTGACAAAGAACATCCGCCTCTTCTCTGACTTCCACAACAACACCCCAATCTCCTCGGCGTATCTACACGGGCCCTCAAACTCCGCCAGACTAACGAAGTCCTTAAACAGGAAGCCTGGCGTGGCTTTTATCCGGTCCCGCTCCAGTTGCCAGAGACGGATCTGGTCAACAACTGTAGGCGGGAGAACGGCTGGAACGCCGGCGGGGTTCGCGCCGGATTTTGACGCGTGGTATTTGCGCATTTGCGGGTGGGCGTGCGTGGTTAGGTAGGAGATGATTTGGTCCGCCGTGATGCCCATTTCTACGGCGCGTCGGATGGATTGGCGTGTCAATTTGCCCGTGATGAGGTTGGGGAAGCGATATTTTAGAGTTGTGAATAGAGAGATTAGGGATATTTGGAGGGGGGAGGATGTATAGGCGTATAGGCGGTAGTTGGTTTCTATAATTATGAAGCCTGTTCCGGGCTCATTGGAGACTGCGGCGGGCCCTCCGCTGGGTGCGGTGAGGCTGCTGGAGATGGAGCTGCCAAGGGTGATAGAGTCGGAGGTAAGGGTTGTGGCTAGGCGAGTAGGGTAGAATCGAGTTGCTTCTTGGTGGGGGGGATGCTGATACACAATGCCGAAATCAGTGAGGTCTGCGAGGGTCTTGAGTTGGGTCGATGTGAGATGTTTCTTTTCATATGACTGGCCGAGTTCGAGGCTGCTGAGGACGAAGAGGAAAGACAGGACTTCGACGCTGTCCATGCCTATTTGTTCCGCGTTTTCAACATAGAGAATTAAGATGTGCCAGACTTGGGTGTTGAGGTCCTGAAGGACGAAGGCGAAGCCGTCCTTTGTGATTTCGACTCTTCGGTCGCGGATTTCAACGAGATGGCAGGCTTGGAGGAGTTGTTTTACGCCCTTGCTTAGCGTGACTGCTTGCTGTACCCCCAGAGCGCTGGTTCCAACCATATAACCCAGAACGCCTTCCCACTGACTCCGTGCATAGTCGTCTAGTAGAGCAACGGTCATAGGGTTTTCATCAGCGGTTAGGGACGGAACTCCAAAGGACTGCTGCTTATTCCCTCCTGTAAGGGCCTGTCGAAGCGATGATGCGAAGGGATCCGTAACAGTATATGCCCTGACATTATCCGAGGTAGTAGTATTTGACAGGATATGGAGTCTGCCCAAGATCGATAGCGCGTTGTCTCTCTCGCTTCAAGGCCCCATGTAATTAGTCCCACGATTCCTAAAAATGGATAGATACATATAATCAAGCTTTTCGCTCACCGTTTACTCTCTGGCTTCACCCATAGTTCTAGATCCGCGGCAGGCAGCGGATCCTTAAGGTAGAGAAGCGCCATGACGAAACATTTTGCTACTTGGTATTAGCTAACTCATATCTGAATATTCATCCATCGAAAGAAGTCATGTTGCGCATTTACCCAGGTGCGGCAACATTCGCCGAAAGATTGCTAGAGCCGTGGATGGCTGCTGGTAGAGTCTGCGGAAGACAGTTCCTGGCAAACTTTCCAGGTAGTCCATCGATCGGGAAGATGACACAGCCATTTTTATTTTCTTTCCAAGACGGAGGCTGTTGGGGCAGTCGCCGTGCTATAGTTGTCACCGATCTATCATAGCGATCCCAGCCAGGCGATAGGTTGAGGTTCAAGAAGCTCAAGACAATAGTTAATTCATCCCCAGTGAGCGAAGAGCAGAAGCTAGAGACGTGAGGTGATTACGCAGTATCGTATCCGTACGGGGCCAGCGCGCGATCGATTAGCTAAGCGCCGGCTACTGCGCTTCTGACAACCTAGAACAACTTTGATACAACAAACTCGATTCCTTCAGCATATATCATTTATTCGGTGGTTAATCATTGCAATATGAAAACGTTAAAATTTGTTGAATCAGTAAGTATCTGCTTTCGTTAAACTTCTGCTTCTCAATTTAACTGCTAATTCAACTTTACAGGTCTGGCAGTCCTTCCGGACTACATCTGGCTTAGAGCCGAGGTATTCATCATTGTTCACGACATTTCCTGAGAGTGAACATGCATAGTTGACGACGAGCCGTTGCTTATAGGCTGCTGCATAACGTATGTATCTATACCGATATTAGATGCATGACAATTGGCCTTTGCAGTTGCCTGCAATTGAGTTCCGCCCCCATCCATATCACTCCATCCATACATGTCCTACTCTAGATGAGAGAACTGACCATATCAATAGCTCCGCGTGACAGCCGCACGCCCTGGTGTTGTGAACTTCGAGCTAGATATTCAGAAAGAGCATACGGTTTGTATTCATTTTCTCCGCAGCGGCGGTGGGAAATCCAACTAAACTATCCTTTTTTCCATACAAGAATCGCCTAGGTATCCTTCATGGAGGCACTATTGCTAGCATGGGTATGTGGAATACACCCTCATTTTATTTTCCATGTAATTTAACTTTTGCTGATGCTATATCCCGCAGTCGATCTCGGAGGATCCCTAGCCCTTGCTTCGAGGGGACTATTCTCTACAGGTGTTTCAACTGACATTAATGGTTCGTGAACTCCCCATTCCCAGAAATTCATTCTCTGACTAGACTCGAATTGAATTACTAGTGACATATCTCAATTCCGGAGGTAAAATTGGAGATAAGATTCTCGCAGTGAGTTGGATGGCGATCATATTCCCGAACCCCTTTGTCGACTGAACCCCTTTGTCGACTGCTCAAGATACTAATGCAAAACCCGCAATTAGGAGGTTACATGCGATAAGTGTAAGGTTTTATCCACTTGTTTCCTTTCCCCTTCTCCCCTTCTTCTTTACCTCTTTCTATCAAAGGATACTGAATGGAACTAATATAATAATGACCGCGTCCCTTTAATACAAAATCGTAGTCGGGAAAACGCTTGCATTCACATCGATAAAGTTCACCAATTCCCAGAATGAAATTTTCGCACGGGGGAGCCATACAAAGTAAGTATGCGGCTTTCAGCATACAATATAGCTGCCTTGATTCCCATTTTCCCTTTGGAGAAGGCTCCTTATTCTAACATCAAGGGTATAGGTTCGTTGCTCTTGCATACAAGGACCCGAAAAATATTGTTGATCAACTGAAGGCGGAAAATGGGGCGGAGGCGAAATCTTGAGAAAGCCGCGACGTATGCTACCAAGTCTGAAGTTATAAGTTCCCCCAAGGCCGTAGTGGATAGATAGGACTAGACGAGTTGGAAGCTGACCGGGGCAGTAGCTCATTACAGTTACTTCAAAGAAAGCCCATAATGCCTTGTAGTAGTGTCCGAACGGCACACAGCTCTTTCCCGTTGTATTAAATAGATTGTATAAGATCATAGCAACCCTGTGCTGTACATAGAGAAAGACATTGTTAGAAAACCCAAGTTAAATGGCACATACGACGAAGTTCTACACTTAAAACTCCGAATTAAACAATAACTTCAGGCCTTGAAAGGAATGGGGCAAGCCGGTGCTCAACCAGATATTAGAGGAATGACATTTAAGCGTGAAAATCATTGCGTAACATCCGAGTAAGATGCTGGAACAGTATAAATATAACCATACAGTCAAGATACATAAAGGTCAAAAGTGGTAGGCGCGGAAAACGCCAGGAATAAATTAGGCTAAGTTCAGCGGTAAATTCATAGAGCCCAGTCCTATCCCAGCATTGATTCCAGGTAAAAAAACGGAGAGGCAAATATATTTCAACCATCATAAAAAAGAAACGAAGCGAAAACTCCTGTTACAACGATACCCAGTCACAACCAAGTGAACAAAAAAGAAAGGAGGAAAACCTCCAAGAAGGAACCAGGCTTTTTTTCAGATCTTAATCAAGAATACTCTCCGGCTGTACAAAACGCTCTTCATCATCAGCCTCCTCATCCTTTCCTTCTTCACCAATGGTGGCCATAACCTCATCGGCATCCACAGGAGCGACCGCTGCCTTCCCCTCCTCCGCTAACGCCTTAATCTTCGCCTGGGTCATCTCATACACATACTGGCCCAGGTGCTCCATTCCCTCCATTGGCGTACCAGTGACAGCATCTTCCGCTAGAGTTCTTGAAGTCGGGAAGAGCTCGCCGGGAACAAGCATGAGCTTATCGGGCCTCTGGAGGAGTATGTCAAATGCTGGTTTGAGTTCGAAGCATGATTCAAAGACTTCGCGGCGGCCGAGGATGTAGAGGCCTAACCGGGCACGGGAGAGGGCGACGGTAAGACGGCGCACATCACGCAAGTAGCCGACGGTTCGTGTGCGTGTGAGGGAGAGGATAACGTCTGTTTTTGTTTTTTATTAAACATTAGTTTCGAATACCGTAAAACTTTTGTAGAGTTTGATACTCTATTTGGGGATGCAATTAAACTTACAGTCGTTTTGCTCCCCTTGATACTTGTCTACCGTCGTTACGATCTTTGGTAAGCCGAATAGAGAGTTCTTGGCGCATCGATGGTTCAGAACATCCTTGATCAACGCTCTTTGTCCCGTATACGTTGTCAGGATTGATATCTTCGATGCTGGATAGCCAAGGAGACGCATATACTGATATATAGCAACAGTATACTCTGCCTCGCCAAGATTTTGAATGAAATGGGCTGAGGGTTCTCTTTCGCCGACTCCCTGATAATCTGGAACGTTGATAAATTGGTAGTCAAATTTGAAGCCGGGATTGGCGAGTTTGAACTCTTCGTTCGTTTCTACAGCCGGCAAATTTCGTAGTTGTGGGTATCTCCATCTGAAAAGTTCTGCAATTGACGGACGTGATCGACCCTGTTGATCTAGATTTATTGTCGGTACACCCAACCTTACAAGGCGTAAGAAGAGTGTTTGCTCAAAGTTCGCGTATTGCCGGAAAGCCATGTTCTGAATTATGGGGGAGTTTTGGAGATGATCGCCGCAAAGTACTACTCGTTTCAATGGCAATTCCCCGTTTTTAGTGTTCTGTAGCGCACAAGGGATAAAACTTTCGATCTCTGTGACTTGTGCTGCCTCCTCCATTACAACATTATCATATTGGAATCCAAGGTTGGCAATTTCTTGTCTCCTCATAGCCGCATGGGTCGAAGTCATGGCAATTATTCGAGCCTCTTTTACTAGAAGATAGTTGGCTTTATCGCGCTGGAATCTGAGAATCTCGAACGGACGGATATCCTCAAGCTCGGAAAATAATTTGTCCATATGCCTTTGACATCCGGAAACGACGTCGAGCAGCTCTTCTTTTGACGAATTTGGATCAAACAGCGGTTTTGGGGTATTCGAGAAAAATGAATGGAAAGGGAAAGCTTCGATAACGGTTTCGCGAGGACAGTCTTCGGCCTGAACTGTATCCCAGTATTTCTTCCACGCCGGTCGAATGTATACGGTGTTGAAATAGCCTGCCGTCTCGCAAGAGTTCCCATGAGCGCCCTCCACTCCGATTGAAGCCGCCAGACGATCTACTTCGGCAAGGTAGCTACCACGGTTCTCCAGGAAAGTATCCACTCTACCGTATTTACTATAGCTTTCCTCAGTGTTCAACTCCTCCTCTCCTCGACCCAACCGCAAGAGATGGCGTTGATCGATGTCTAAGGCCATAATTTTTTGGAAAAGTTGGTTTAGGGCTTGGTTACTGTGGGCGATGAGTAATGTCCGCTCATTGGGGAAGTTATGGTAAATATTGCTTATAATCTGAGTTGCAACGTCAGTTTTTCCTGTTCCTGGGGGTCCAACAATAATAGTCATGCCAGGTTGGGTACCGGACACAATGGCCTCGACCTGGGCTGGTGTAAATCGAATCTTGTTGAGTTTCGGAGCATCAACCGGATAAGGTCCTGGATTAGGTGGACGGTATGAGGAAACACGTATCGAGCTGGGGGTCTTCTCAGCAACTTCAACCTGATCTCGTCGTCTCTTCTTTGATGCGTTCGAGCTTGTCGCCCTGGGATTCTCCTCGAACATCTCCAAGACATATGGTGGATCAAAGCGAGAGGCCGCGCCGTCATCTGGTACAATTGTCTGGTTTGGGAAACTTTCGACAAGGTGGTCCCAATTTAGGAACGTATCACGGAAATCGACAGATTTTACTTTATTGCTCAGTTCTGTATATCTGGCGCTAGCCGGGTCTCCGTAGCCTAAGAAAACCTCCTGTATCCACGGAGGCAGATTGGTGTCCGCGACCGTTAGGCACTGCATGGTTTCTAGAATTGGCTTAAAATTGTTTTCTCTGGCGCTTCGCCTAACAATTACATTGATAGATGTGTAGACGTCGGGTTTCCCTTTCGCAAGAGTTTCCATGTCGGCTTTATACGACGCTGCATCGATATTCACAAGTAATCTTCGAAGTCGCGGCCGCGGCCTGTATCCATTCGTTTCCTCGGTTTGAGGTTCCCTCAAAAATCGTCCGTGCTCGTCGAGAACTTGTACAACTTCCGCAGTGCGGACATGTAACAAGCTCACTTCATCTTTTGGATCCCGGCTGTTGCTAAATATCTGCTTTACCGATTTCTTAGGCTGCAACGCAAGAAGGAAAACGACGTCGTCAGGCCGAAGCGATTCCCATTCTCTTCGAACATTATCACCGAGACGGCTGACGTCCAGTCCAATTTCGGCACGGACGTATGCAGGGTTAGTTGATCCAACTTTTGCTGGTGCAACTTCAACGATCGCCGGTTTTGCAATTGGTATTGCCATTCTTGAGAACCCTTCAAATGACACAGTCCCGGTATTTCTCTGAAAGAGTGGCTGTAATCGCTTGAGTACTGATTCAAGGTCCTTTCGGATCTCAAAAAAAGCCTCAGAACGATAAAGCAAAAACGATCGCCATAAGAAATCGCCAAGACTCAAATACTGTAAATTTAATTTTGGAATGGCCAATGGCCGAGAGCCATCATAGGATTCATTGCGGATCAAAGCAGGGTCGTACAAGTTTGATTCCGTGGGCATGACGGCCAGCTGTGATGCGGACTCTTGGAATGAACGATGGCGCTCGAAAGCCGAGAGTATAATTTCAAGAATTAGTTGGCGATCGGGAATAATATTGGATTGCTTAGGATAGCTTATTCTAAAACCAAGGTAGGAACAAAGGGTCTCTAATTCTTCATCAGTCAAGGCGGACAAGTGTGACTCTAATTCAGGCCGTTGTTCGATCGAACCGTAGTTTGATAATGCTAAAATGGTGAGTTTGTCTTTGAAATGCTTAATTGCTGTTCTTTGAAGATGAGCCAACTCCCTACAGTGAACGTCATAAACAGCTTGAGGAGAAAGGTGCTGGCCCGACTGATCGTCTACCGCAAAGTTGATGAAATGCCTGAGGAGAGTGTAGAAATCACGGAAAAGCGCATTCGGTTCCTCGTTGTAAAGCTTTGATACTCGGATTACTGCAAGGAGGTTGAGATCCTTTAGGAGGGAATTGAAGTATCGCCTCGTGGGAAGCTGGCTGTCCAGATCGACAAGGAACTCCATAAATCGCTCGCAATATCGTACATTGTCCGGATCGCTGCCATCAGCCATGTTGATTCGTTGAAGGAAATCGAGCAGCATCGAATATAACCAAGAACGATCAAATCGGAGCTTTGCCTTTCCAGCATCGTCAGCCTTCTCATACCGCTTCGCAGCTATTCGCCATCCCCGTTTCAAAGTATCCGTTTGTTCCAGGAGCTTGTTCCTAGAAGCATCATTGTGAAGGTTGTGCCAAATCGATATCGTAACCAGCGGAGCGCATTCTTTGCGAATAAGCGCATTCTCCAGCGATTGAAAAGCGCTGATAACGAATGATAGGAGATAGATCTTGGACTTTGTTGGTAATGTTGTATCAAGGTTCATAGCAAGGATACGGCGGAAAAGGGTCGTGAAGTCTGTCGGTCTCTCCATGAAATGCTCTGCGATGGAGTCAGTATTTGCCTCTGTGATATAACTACGCGACTTCAGGGTAACCTTACCCCATATTGGCAAGTGCTCCCTCTGTTTAATTCCAGCAATCACGGCTATGAGCAGGACATGGTAGTTGGAGGAATCTTCGGAGTATGTTGGCCAAAGGAACCTGGGCAGAGAGAGTACTGTTGTCAGGGGGATTCTGTCTGAAGAAGAACAACAGCAACAAGCAAAAGAGTATAACCTACTTTTCCAGCACATGAAGATTTTCCAATATCAGAAGAGAACGAACAGCGAACTTTTCCGACACCAGTCCATCCCATAGATCATTCTTGATAACCTCAGGCTTTGCCTTCGGAGCTTTCGACAGCTTCAACCAGTGGGCCCTAGCCAGATTCACCCACCGGTTATCCTCCTGGAGGTCATTCACCGTCGGGCGGGTGTCGAAGCTCTGCGCCATTGCTGGACGCATCTGGAGTCCCATTGCTGTCGTCTTGACGGAATGCGCTTCAAGGACAACAGTCCGACGCCGCCAAAACAAAAAAGCGGTTTCAAGACGTGCAGAAAACGTCCGTGCACGATTTGTCACCCCCAGAGCATCAAAGGAACAACGTCAAGCCGCCAAATAGCTTCAAGAAAGAGATTTATACCAACCTCTTTCAGATACACGGCAAATCACAAGGTAATTTAATTGCCGCCCTCGTTCTATCCAAATGATCATGCCAGTAGAAGATATCGTGGCGGTGAAGGTCTACCAGCAATTAGTCCAGGACCTTCTGGATAAGGCGGCGGAGATCAAGAAAGACTGCAGCATTGAACCTCCGTTGACTGATGCCGATCTGGGCGATGCGATACGCCGAATACAACAAGACCAAGATAGTGGACTGAAGGAGCAAAGTCAACAGGCTCAGTTCGCAGTGGTTGAAACTGCCTTTCGGAAAAAGTTCTATGATCTTCTTGTCTGTCACGCTCCTTCTCAGCCAGCTGGATGGGCTATACCATACCGTGCTAACCTTTCTTTTGGTGTAGGCCACCACCTCGATCGATGAACCTTCGTTTATTCATATATGGAACCTTCTAGATATTGTATCGATATTTTCGGATAACGGTGAGCGCCCTGCGCGGGGTATTATCTGAGATTTTAATCGCTGATATACTCTGTAGAACAATGTGAACCCGGGCTGCTATTCTGGCTCATTGAGGAGCTGCTGGACAGTCAAACCATCGACGGCTGTCGGAAGGTCTTTGATTATCTGGAGTCGAGGAGGGAACGAAATACTGCTGTAGGTTTCGGGTTCCTTAAATATCCATCGGGAAACTCTGCTGACGGACTATGACTACAGAAACATTTCAAGCAGAAGAGCTTGATTATCCTACGATCGTGCAATGAACTCCTGCGCCGGCTTTCGCGCACCGAAGATACGGTATTTTGCGGGAGGGTTTTCATATTTCTCTTTCAGAGCTTCCCACTAGGAGACCGTAGCTCTGTCAATTTGAGAGGCGAATTTCATACGGAGAATGTGACCACTTTTGATAAGCTTCCCAAAGCTCAAGACGGTGGCGTGACTCCGATGGATGTGGATGCTTCTGCGAAAGAAGTCGCTGGCGATGCGAAAACCGAATCGGCGCAGGCCAGTGAGCAAGAATCCAACCGACAGGCAGCTCATCCAGCAGCTGATGTAGGCCTGCAAAGTTCGCAACCGGCCACAAAGAAACCCCAGGAGCCAGAACCTAGCTCAACCCCGTCTATGGATGAGCTATACCCCATTTTTTGGAGTTTGCAAAACAACTTCTCTTCGCCAACCTCTCTTTTCGATCCGGCCAATTTTGCGGCCTTCAAAACCGGTCTAGAGGCATCCCTTTCCATCTTCCAGAAGGTAAACACCGATATGGAGGCGCGGATGACGAAAGGATCGGAAGATGCGCGTCGTGGCCTTAAGCGGAGGCGTGTAGGTGACGGCATGGAAATGACGAACAGCTTCAACCCGAAGTACCTGACGAGTAGAGATTTATTTGAATTAGAGGTTGGTATCTAGCTTCATGTGATGGACATTTTGCAACCAAACCAAATACTGATTTATTCCAGGTGAATGATGTCGCGTTCCGGAGACACATCCTCGTGCAATCGTTAATTCTTCTTGATTTTGTCCTCTCGCTCACGCCCAAAGCTAAGGCTAAGCTGGCGGACTCAACAAACAAATCAGTGCTCTACAGTTACGTTCTTAATGACGAAGATGTAAACTTGTGCACTGCTTCTTCTAAAGTAATATGCCAGGTGCTGACTATTTCCTAGGCAAAATGGGCGTCACAAATGAAAACCTCCATTGCCAGCTATTTGCAACAAGGTTCAGAGGGGAAATTTTATTACAGAATGGTGGACACTGTTCTCACTAGAGACAAAAATTGGGTTCGATGGAAGGCAGAAGCATGTCCTCCGATCGAGCGTACCCCAGTGTCAATCCAAGATTATTTAGATACGCAAGCTACTGCGACTAAGGTATCGACGAGCAAACGACTTCGATCCGCCCCGTTAGGATCCCTGGATCTCAATTTCCTCACGGAGGATAAGAATATCAATAGCGTGGGCCGGCTTAAGCACCCCGACAGGTAAATAGCGTAACATGACCCCATCACAGAACTAGCCGTTCGCTAACTCCTATCCCAATAAAGATTCACTACCCCAGCATTAGATTCTTACATGCGCGGGATTGCCGACGATGAGTTTAATATTGACATGGCCCAGTCGCGCGAAGAGAAGGACGAGGCGACCAAAGCAAGAGCAAGCAAGACCTGGAGAACCCTACGTCTTTCCTCTCGCAGTAAACTAGCACTGTTCGACAAAATCGAGGACGGAAATAACCTCAAGGTTCTTTTTGAGCCGCCTCCTGCGTCTGAGGATGCGTCAAGCGCATCAAACAAACAAAAAGCTGCAGTGGAAAATGGCGTTAATCGTCAAGATGGACCTTCCAAAAGGGGCGATGTAAAAGGGGAGAAGGCAAAGGAAAACCAGCCACCGGTTTCATCCGATGGAGCAGCTCCGCAGCAGGGCTAAGAGTTTGTATGGGAGGTAGATGGGTTATTGGAGTATACCTCGTGACTACAAAATTGAGCTCGATGCGGGAAACGGAACGGACTGCCCATAATAACTGGCCTCCGTGGGAGCACAGGACGACAACCCATGCTCGGTATTTGTCTTACCCCGCGAACGCTTCTTTTCGTTAGTTTGCAAACGAGTTCGCCAGACCCTCACAGCCCAGGGTCAACGCTACCTTCTCGAAAACGATTAGCTCCGCCCTTCTCTTCCTTAACATGTCATGTCGAAAGGGCACACTGATCCCTTGCTGTATCCGAGGAGAGTGGTGAAGCTCAACATCCAAGCGGAGACAGAGGGGTATGCGAGCTGCACAGGCGGGTGGTATATAAGGCAACTGACCGATGCAGCTCCACAGCATGGCTCCCAATTAACATCCTTCGCCGTTAAAGTGCAGCTCTACGGTCTACTCCCGCGTCGAGCCTCGAAGAATGGGCAACAGGTGCATGCTGGTACGCCATGTTATGCCATTGTTAATTTACGATCCGTGGAAATAAACTGGTTTTGAGGAGGGGCCGGGGAGTAGGAAGGAATAAGCAGATTAGATCTAAAAACGAAAGAAGTCCCAATGTTGCTTGCGATGCTCGGGAATGTTTTGCTGGATGATATGACATGAATGGTATAAAGAATCACTTGCCTATATAATGATCAATGTCAGTAAGAACGATACATCTACATCTCACAAGGCATAACATAAATCCGGTGGAGGAGTTGTTACCACCCACCCAGTACAGTTAACCGCCTCCCGTTTAAAAAAAAAAAAATTAAAAAAATTAAAAATTAAAAATTAAACAACTCGCCATCCACAATTCCAATAATAGTTAGATCTACAGTTGCAACGCAGATGTATGTATGTATATACCTGTATGCAGACGAATGCCCAGGTTCATTGTTTTAGCCACGTGGAAAGGCGAAAACAAAACACAGATCTGTTTCTTTCTTTTTCACTATACATCCCTCCCCCCTGTCTGTCTCTCATGGAGCTTCATTCTGCTTCCTCTTTGTCCGAAGTTGAAATGATATATCCGGCGGGGAATCAGGTAATGTTCCCTTTAAATAGCTTTCTCCGCTTTAACAAGAGGCAAGAGGGGAAAAGCGCTCACACAAAAGCCAAAGTCTAGGCCTAGGTGGTTCTGTCTGGTCTTCATTTCTTAGCTGCAATTGTGCCCGGTTCAAAAAACTTCTGCAGGAGCCGGCAAATCACAAAAGGGGTTAAGTCGAGGAGGGGTACTTAAATATTTATGTTGTTGAAACCTGAAAAGCCTGAGCCGTTACCTGGTCATTGGAGAATGGTATTGAAATAGTTACAACTATCAACTATATGGAGCCCGACACCATCACGGCCCGTTTCGGTTTTGAAGCGCTCTCCTCTCGACCCTGGCGCGGATCTTTCATCCCAGCAAAAAATCCTGTCCTTGGCCTCGCGGTCTCTGTTGGCGATGTCTGGGCAACCTCGTCTCCGTTGAACGCTACTCCGGCTGATCCTCGCCGGAGACAACAACTTTGTTCCACGAGAGGAGTTTCCCTTGTGGCATTTCTGCCTTTTTCTCCTTTCTCCTTTTGTGTGTTTGCCCCGAGCGCCGAAACAGTCCTCTTGAAGATTTGTGGCTCAAACAACCCTGGGGCCCACACGTATGTACAGTACATTGCATGTACAGCAGTACGGCAGCACAGCATCAGGGTCGAGTCAGGCCCCGTATCTCGTTTCTCAGGACTGGGATGTGCCTATCGCCCATGGGCCTGGGGCGGACAAACACTGCCTGCATATTGTTCTGGAAATTTAGCAGTTCCGCCCTGTTCCAATTCGTTTCCCCTGGCATCTTTTCATGCGGCTCCAATCACCAAGTGTGCGTCTTCACTGCAAGCCCCCGCGATATTATTTCAGGAGGTTTTTCTACGGCTGCAATCGTCTTCTACTTCTTTTATCGCCCAAAAAGTCTTTCCCGACTGCATTACACACGGTTTCAGATAATCCGTCTTCCAATACCATCGCCCATCAGCTGTAGACACCGGTGACCCTTGCCCAGACTCCCCTCCAGGGTTCTCATCTCTGGCATAACACGAGCATATCCCTCGATCGGTGGTGGACTCTCGAGTGCGTGCGCCTATGTCTGCTATCAGGGATTGCCCATTAATTGGCCGTTCCTGGTTACCAGCGTCAGCTCTTATAAAGGCACACGTTGTTACAGCAATCCATGGGATTTATGGGATTTTCCCAGAGGACTATGCATCCCGCATTGCTTCCTCGGTGTTTCTTGCACAGTTCGAGATAAAGTTGGAGTCGACTCAAGCTGTTTTGAATTACGGATTTCTGCAGGCCTACCCCAGCCTATACATAGCCGGTCTGAGTTGATTCCACAGGAAGCAGAGTATCCCCGGACGTCTCTCGTCCCTGTGAAATTCCTAAGCCAGAGCTCCATGCTCGTGCCACCATTATTCTGGCTGCAACCTCAACAATTCCGACTCCAGGGGATAAACCTGGAAATAAACCTGGAAATAAACCTGGACAACCCCAATGCCTAGCTGCTCTTACGCTAAGCTAGATGAAGTGTGCATGCATGCTGTCAGCAAGACAACCTGGCAGCTTTAGCACTGTTCTGGCTTTCGGTCTCCAGCATGGTGGTACCATTGTTAGTATTTTATCCAAACCGTGTTTCCCAGTGCCCCGATGTAGTGGATCCTGATCGCTACTGACGGAAGGGCCGAGCCCGGAATTTTTTGTGTTCTACCATCGGGTATACGATCAGAAAAAAACTGATTTTTGTTGCCTGTATTTTGTTTTGTATTTGTTTTACAATGATAGCAGCCCCTCCCCTTGACAGTCGAAAATTGGCAATGCCCAATGCAACTAAAAATTGTCGAAGCAGATGCTGACACCCACCACCGCATTCTGTTCCTCAATGTGGCAACTCCATGCTAGCCTAGTGTGTCCAAGCTAGGCTAGAGGCCGAGGGTGAGACGCCAGCGGGCCTCGAGACATGCTTCATTGGGACGTGACGGTATTTCGGGTGCACTGTTATTATGCCCGCAAAATTGCTAAGTCACAGTGGATACACCGACGGCCGACGGTGGCGTAAACACTCTTCTCAAAAGGGACAACGACACTCTTTGTCAGTTGGGGGAATATTCAAGGCCCCCATCCCGTTTAATGCCACGGCTCCGAGTGAGCAGATGAAGCAGACATTCCCCAACCAAACCGTGCAGCATGGGCCGAGGACAACCCTTTCAACTCATCTTCGCTGGAACCAAGGTGATTTTCCATCTTTTTGTTCCCTGGCCTATGTCAACCGAAACCAGCTCCATGCGTTTTGATTTGCGACAATCCGGCCTCAACGTACTTGGGGTAGACCGCGAGACTGCTATTACGTATTTCTATGGCCATCACTACAACTTCCTGCGCTTGTTTACTTCTCTGCCACAGTACCCAGTGAAGTGGGTGCGGGCGTCGAAACGCCTGGTATTGGTTGGAGCAGACATCCCGCCATTTCGCAGTCAAGGAAAATCCACAACCCGGTTTGATATACAGAACTTGCCGCCCCGAGTTCTCCCTCCTGCTGCAGCTAAGCCTCCCGGGCTAATCCTCTATCCTGCCATGACTAGGTATATCATCCCTAGCCATCACTCCTCCTTGGCTCTCTTTATTCCCCGTGGGACCTTGAGTGTCAAACCATTCCCCCCTTCAGCATTGGCACATATATCGACTTCAGTTCAAAGTAGCAAACTACGACTGGGTTTAAAAGGAAAGTATATATGTTATTGCTACATTTGCAAGTTTCTTTTTTTTTTTTTTTTTTCTCCCGAGTCTTCTTCTTTTCTCTTTTCTCACCTTTCTTTCGTCTACATCTCGCCTAGACTGTGCCATTCTTTACTTAGAGATGAATACCTTCACGGTATGAATACCTTGATACTACCTCAATTGCTTACTATATACCTCCCCGCACCTGGTGTCGTCCCATAAAATCTTGCCAGCATAGACTGTGACCAGATTCATGCTTACCCCGGACCATTTCTTTTCCTGGTTTAAGGCTCTTTGAAGCTGGACCTCTTCTTCTTTTTTTTTTTTTTTTTTTAAAAAAAAAAAAAAAAAAAAATACCTCGAGCCCTCGGACTCCAGAGACCTTTATAATGTGAAATAAGGGCACACTTCTGTAAACAATTACTCGGTATCACCTACATTGAACCTTTTGACGCGCGGCACAGGAGCTGAAAAGGAGACTATCAAGATCACCAGGGGCCAGTTTAGGAGAGGAAACATTACATCTTCTGTCAGACCTTATACTGTGACACCCATGTTATCAAACCGGCGTTAAATGCCTCGCGACAAATCTATTGGACTATCTAACCTCAACACCTAAATTCAAAGATCCTGGGGAAAGGCTGTTTCAGCCTCAATGCAACTGTGTGAACCTCAAAATCCTTATGAAAAGAACGACATTGATACCTGTGCTCTATTTACCTACCTCCTTCGGACCCCAATCTTCTGGAAATAGGCGGATGAGTGTCTAGCAACTGAACCCCATCGAAAAATATACAGTGTAACACATTGTTGTTCATCGTGCCGTCTCTCGTGTCTCCCATTTCCATGCGCCAGGTTGACGCTAGTTGGAATATCAACAACTGGAACCCGGCCGACAGCCGCTCAGCCCCGAAACTTTAGGCCATTCCCAACTGTTATGAACGATCGCGATTTGCTCCAAATCGACCCGATCGACCGGAAGCGTTTTGAATTGGAGCCCAGGGCGCATTTAAGTGTTGCTCCTGCTAGTGAAATCAAAGGTCATCCCACAATAAATTTCAAAAAAAAAAAAAAAAAAAAAAAAAAAAAAAACATTGAAGCAGAGACCCAGAATGAGATAAGAAATATAAAAACAATCTTATCTGAAACTGAAACGGAATATCTGGAGGGCAACTCTGAATTTTCAATGCCATCGACTTCCGCGAATTGGATTTCAGGAGCTTACTTGACCTCTAATCCTGTCGAAAGCCACAGCATTAAAACCAACGATAATGATGCTGAAGAAGGAGACTGTGAGAATGAATTAGCCATTGGCATATGTGACGACCAACTTGAGAGAGAGAGCCATGAGGGAAATGGACAACGCCAGCCTGGTGGAGGTGGCCATGCAAAAGTACCAGCCGACTGGCAGACAGGAAAGGGGAAGATGAAACGCTTCCGGTAGGTTATTTTCTAGCCGTCAGTGTTTTTGCGGATATGGGCTAATCATAATCCAATTACCACAGACTCTCGCATAACCAGACTCGATTTCTCATGAACGAATTTGCTCGCCAAGCTCATCCGGATGCCGCTCATAGGGAGCGCTTGTCGAAGGAGATCCCAGGTCTAAGTCCGCGTCAGGTGCAGGTTTGGTTCCAGAATCGGTAGGTTAACTGCTCTTTTAAGCATATTTGCCATCTCGCCCATTTACATTGCTTATTATGAAACCGGTAGGCGAGCCAAACTAAAACGTCTAACAAACGACGATCGAGAACGGGTGTTGATCTCGAAGGCCTTAGCGGATGGCTTTGACATCGCACGAAGCATTCATTCGCCGTACGGGAGTTGGCACCAATCTTCCCACACCCTCGCTTCCCCTGGGAGTTACTTAAATGCCAACCAGGAAGGGGGAGAGGAAGATATACTTACGCCTTTGATAGTCGATATTGTGGGCAGGCTAAGTGACGAAGACTATGCGATATCTCCGTTAAGCGCTTCCTCTAATTACGACAGCTACTTCCCCTCACCGGCTTCAGCGTCAGCCTCTGGGTCAGAACTTGATATGCCGCCAATAACAATAGGAGGCGATATCGCGTCGCATTGCCCATCATTTTCCAACCCGCAAACATCAAGCTTCCAATATATGAGTCCGTGCACGAGTCCTGGTAGTTTTTCCCATTCTACTTCGCAAACTTCTCATCATCACATCCAGGCTATGGAACAACAAGATACGACGAGACAGAGGGCAGGATCATTGAGATCCCCTCCCCGAGCAAGCATATCATCTACCCACGCCTACATGGGGTTGGATATGCCATGTAATACCCACTCATATGACAATATCACCTCGCAGACGTTCATGGATACCAACGTTAGCCATGCACGTAAGTACTAATAATACCTAATCCACCAAAGCATAGGATTGCATCGGCTTACGATATATATATAACACCAGCCCACAGCCAACTACATAAATCAGGCCAGCCACCCAAACCCTCATGACCCTTCGGCTACGCACAGCTCCAACCAGCCTCCCTCCCGAATTACACCTGGACACAGGATACTGAAAACAAGGCGATGATGGCCTACAATCCGCTCCTCTACCAGACATGCATATCCTGCGCGAAGACCAATTATCTCCTTTCAGCACCACCACCACCATCACCACCGTTGGCATAGGCCCATTCGACATTTCCTATCCCGAGCGCAACTCTTCATCACTAAGCCTCCCGGCATCCTTTATCCCATATTAGCTCGAATGGATGGGGAGAGGAATGCGGGCTGGCAAATAGCATCGACGCGGAATTCCCCAAGGGATTGCCTATGAAATAAGGTATAGCTTACCCAAGTATACATACTTGGGGAGATTTCGTGGTTCTCAATAAAATCGGGAGGGTATTGATATTTTGTATATACGATATTCTTCTCCTTTTGTTTGTCTGTTTTAAAGGATCTTGGACTGAAACCCTATTCCTATTTCGCTTATATGTTGTTTCGCGGGAAATTATTTCTTCTGGAGATTGATTTCTTTCTTTTTTGTCATCTATCCCATTTCATTATCCCTCTATACTCTAGTTCGCTAGACGTTCGGATAATTTTTTTTCTTTTTTTCTTTCTTTCTTTTCTTTCCCCTTTTTTTTTTTTTTTTTTTTTTTTTTTTTTTTTATGTTTACTCCGTATTGTCTCAAGGACAAGACAAGTAAGATGGGAGGGTATTTGCCTTGAATGTTTAATGGTGCCATGACAATGACTGCAAGAAGTTAACTGGGTCAGTAGGGACATATATGTGGTTATGTTTTGCACTCTCTTCTCTTGTTTTGGAATCATTTAATCCCGGGCGGCCTTCTGCTATTTTACATTGTCAATTCTTTTTTCTGTTTGCCTCCGTTCCAAAAAATTCTCCCGTCCTAGTCAATATAGTACAGTACAGCAACATTGATGAGTATCTGATAAGAAAACGCCGAGGGGCACGATGACGAGTGGTACGATCCCGAGTGGTTCGATTATCTGACTCCGCCAAGGCAACAGCCATAGTTACCATTTACGATATTACCATGAATGAGATGACATGACATACAGCGTAGAGCTCAAACGTCTGGCCCAGCGCCCGTCCAGCCAAAGAGGTTGCGGCGATTGGCAACACAGGGCCGATCTTGCCTCTCGGGCGGCAGAAAGTTAAAATAAAATGAGTGGGCCGCGGCCCCACACGCTTTGCTGGTCAGGATGGCGCCGGGCGGCGGCCAATCAGAGCTCAGGCGTTGTTAATGCATCGATGACTTCATTGTTGAGTCCCGCCGCTGAGAAGAACTATATAAGAGGTGTACAGGTATATGTATAAAACTACTTGATATTTTGATTTATTCGCTTTTATCATCTTACTGTTATCCGATATTCAATATCTGATCTCATCCATCCAATCCATTTGAGAAGGTTCAGGCACGAACCCTAATCACCTCCATCCTCCATCCCCCGTACATCTACATCTACATCTTCTCTATCAACCACCTACCTGCCCAGGTCTCAGAAACATCAAATTCCACCACCACCAGACCAGCCCAGACCACACAAGGTGAAATATCGAACAGAACCAAACCAGCAAAAAATAAACAATGACCATCCCACCCCTCTCATGCTGCCACGCCTCCAAGCAAGGGTGCGTCTGCGCCGCCCAAGCCAGATGCTCCTGCGGCAAGCAACAAGCCCTGCATTGCACCTGCGAAAAAGCAAAGACTGAAAACGACACCTCAGGCCCTAGGTGCTCATGCCGTAAGTTCTAATCCTGGTTCGCTCCCTTTCAATTTTCGTATCTGGGATCTTCCCTCTTCCCCTTTTGCATGTCATCTCAAACTTGCTTAGCTGTGCGTATCTGAAAGCTAACATAATCGCGTCCGGGGGGGTGGGAATAAAAAATAGGGAGCCGTCCAGCTGGCCAATGTACGTGTGAGCGTGCCGAATCAGAGAATCATCAGCATTTCAGCGCTGCGTGTCCGTGTGGGAAGAGAGCGTCAGGTGGGGTTTTCCCCTTCCATTAACTCTTGTTTTCTTTCTCTCGAGGCCATTTCCTTGTAGAAGAATTCGCTCTGCTAACCAAAACATATGGCGTGCCCCTTCGTGAAAATCAGACTCCTGTACTTGCGAAAAGGCCCTTGATGCCGGGAACTTCCCCGGAGAGACAGACTTCACCACCAAGGCATAGATAGACAGATACACTATTGAAACGAATGCTGAGAGGACAGGAAAGGTGGAAGGCTTGGGATGATTGACATGGGAATCTCTTAGAGCGATTGATTAGGTACAGGGGATGTTGGGTATGATTTTGGAAACTTGACTATCCTCCTTTTGTCTGCATGTGAACAAATTTGTATTTCTTCAGTGTTTTGAGTGTTTTGCATGTAAATTGATTTTTTGGGAATTTTCTTTTATTATTGAAAGATAGATATTCATCAGTTTTCGTTATTTCTTGTCTTCATCCAAGCTTGGACCTACGGAGTAAAGAAATTGTAGATTCTCTGGGCCGTGCACTATGCCCGTTATGGTAAAAGACTACTGCTGCTTCGGGGATGGCGCCTGGCTAGTTACCTCGCTGCTTTTGCGCCATCTCACGCCGTCCTAACGACGCCGAATGTAATGATCTACCTGCGAACGACGACGCGCATTCTCATCCTCTGGAAGATGATGCTGTGCGAAGTCGCCGAACGCCTATCAGATGGGCTTGGACACTCGGAGTGTGGCTTCATTGGTTTCTAGGCCATTTTACCCCCTACCCTACCACGCCACAACCCCGGGTCAAACTGTCATATAAATTGTAAGATGAAGAGACCTAGTCATATGTGCCAATCTCCTCAATTTTGGAAGATTTTCAATCTCTAATTATGAAGATATTTAAAGCAAATTCTCTGCAAAATCTCTGTCTGCTTTTGATGTTTCAAATCATTTACAGTAAGTCTCTCTCACATATCACAAGCATCAAACGCTCGCTTACGCTCGCTTTGCTGTTTGCGCAGCCCCTTCTACCTCTTCCCCCCCTACCCCCCGCTACCACCACCACCGCCCCTACCGCCCCGCAGCTCCCTCTACCACTTCCACCCTCTACTTCTATCTCTCTACCCCTCTCTTACCACCCCGACCACCTCTATCACCTCTATCACTCTCTTTCACCCTGTATCACCTCTATCATCATTATCAGATTAATCAGAGCCGTACAGGCTGCAGAGCTGGCTGTTCAATCCCATTCATGAATTCAAACAGATGCACATGACTAGACTGACCGGCGGGACCATGAATTTCACATTTGATCTCATACATTTCTTGGCGTAAGTCCCACCAGGACCGAGCATCAAAAAAATCTGAAAATGGATCATTTCTTTCAGAAATGGTGTGAAAAATTGTCACGCCCCCGGCCGCGCCAAGGCCCCGTTGCGGTTCCACACGGCTCATTGCTTCCCTGCGGATGATTCCATTCATCCCGCAGGCTGTTCGAACCGGTTTCCAATCACCCTATGACATCATTCAGATGCAATATAGGAAGATTCAATTGATGAATATAAGAATCTCACTTCTATACAAGATCAGCAGATTACTTCTTTCATGACAGTGAGACACTGCTGAGGTATCACTCTGACTATTCTCACTCATAGAATAGAAGAGAGATATTCACTCATTATCTATATAGAATAGCTAGATGCTGACTTCTTATCAAAGAAGTCAGTGATTCATTTTTCTTCTACTGATAATATATATAAGAGTTACTGCATTTCTCATACAATCTTCTTAGTATACTAAGTACTATATCTATGATATTCTCATAATAACTCTGTAGCTCATGAGCTCACTATTTAAGTAAGATAGTTAAGCTTACTTATACAGCTTCTTAGATAACTATCTATATATCACTATTAATTAGTTACTACTAGACTGACCGTGTGATCATGTCTGAAACCAGGATCAGATTTTTTAATAGTCTCATTATCAATTCAACTGATCTCATTACACAGTTTTAATATTAGATAGTAGTTTCATACTGTCTTAGTGAGACTTACTGTCTACTCTCTTGTCACATTTTTCAAATGAGATCATGATTTTCACTTCTCAATTTAAATTATTTTTATTGCTTTAAATGACTTTAAATCTTATTTAAGTGTTATCAAAAAGCATTACTTTTTAAAAAATTAAAAATAGTCTAAAAAAAACCTTAAAATGTCTAAAAATAGTAACTTTATGCTAAGAATGAGACTAAATAAGATTAAATGAGATCACTTTCTTATTTTTTTCAAGTCATGATTTCATTTTAAGATCTGATATATAGTTACTTTGCATGTTTTTTTAATGACTAGTCTCAGCAGGATTCATATCAAGAAATGTATGAGATCAGATCAAATGAGATCAAATGTGAAATTCATGATTTCAGCGGTCAGTCTAGTTACTACTTTAGTTTTATTATATTACAGTTTGAATCACTTGATCTGATTATAAGTTTGAATCAGTCAAGCTCTATTAATAGATTAATATAGTCTTATATACTTATACTGAGACTGATCTGATCTCACTCTCTAAGAGAAACTTTATATTATTCTCTAGTGTATATATATCTCTACTTCAGTAGAAATCTGAGATTTCTGAATCTATTATATATTTTAATAGAGTCTCTTTAACTACTCTACTATTATCACAGTCTCTACACTTCTATATTTGTTATGAAGATAGAGAGATTAAGATTGAAGATTTTCTGAATTATAAGAGAAATATATTATCTGAATTTCATAACTTTATCTATATTTATGAACAGAAATTCTGTCTTAATCTGAGTTAGTTTAATACTTATAAGATATAAGTAATATATACTGTCAGTCTTCTTGAAGATATCTCTGTAACTACTTGAGTTATTAAGAAAAGAGAGCTTAAGTGTATTAATACTACTATGTAAGAGGCCTACGCTGAATAGATCAGTATAATATATAGATCTTATATAACAAAGAGAAAAACATTAGAGAAGGAAAAGAAAGAGAAAGTGTGAGAATCAGTAATTGAAGTAGATATTTATACATGTACATGATAGTGTACATGATAAGGCTTCAGAACAGAAGAATCTATACATGTTTATAATAGCTGAGAATTAGCAATCAAGAGTAGCTGAGAATCAGAGCATACATGACTGAGAATCAGTAATCAAGAGTGGCTGAGAATTGAGATGTACATATTCAAGAATGAAGTAGTTGAAATCTGTGAAGTGTAACAGAATAGTCTATATAATTGATCAGATGCAGTCTGCTACATTAGTTTCTCTCTTTCAGAAGCAGTTCTCATCAGTCAAGAGTCACTGTTTCAGATAATACAGAACTCAGAGTTCAGATCAGTTAATTATAGCTGATTCATTTCATAAGATATTATCAGTTACAGCTGCAGAGTCTCTTATCAAGAATATTCTCAATCTCTCACTCAAGCTCATTATCTTCTTCTATACTATCTGATAGCTGTCAGTCAGAAGTCAGTTAAGAAGAGAATAAGTCAGTGACAGTGTAACAGAGTAAGCTTGTATAAAAGACATTATAAATCTCTGATAATGTGTCAAGATAGTAGTTATAACTATCTAGAACTTCTATCACTTTATACTTAATATAATGATAATTCAGTGTATAAGATGAATGTATAATCTGTATATTCTTAAGATTTAATTATATTAAGTCTTCTATCTTATATTGTTTAGTGAAATCTCAGTGAATATTAATTTAATTCTCTTGATCTTATTTCACAGTTATTATAAAGACCTCTGCTCAGTTATAGATATCTCAGAGCTTTATTACTATATTATCAGTAATCTGAATTAAACTGCAAAAGTTCAGTATAAACTGTATAATCTTTAAAAGATTTAACATCTTTATGTGATAACTATGTGTAAGAAAGAACAGACTTATATCTGTTGAAACAGCATCTTATTCATTGATAGTAATCTCTATATATAGAAGCAGATTATATTAATTATCTTATAAGTGATTACAGAACTTACAGAGATAATTCTTTACAGTCTGAATTATCTGTTCTGATATATCATCAGTCTTAGAGTAATAGATAGTTAATAGATAGTATATAATCTTGAGAATTTAACAGATTCTTGTTCAGAGAGTGCTCATGAATTGACAGCTCTGATCTAATACTATAGATTTCAGTAATTTATATATTTAATAAAATAGACTCTATAAGAAGACTTCAGTAACTTATTCAGTATTCATCTTATTATAAGATTTCAATATTATATCTTTACTCAATTAATTCATAATAATTAGAATATTTTTATAACTCTTACTCTTAGAAAGATTAATAGTAAAGTTAATTATTATATCTCACTAGATTTTATCAGAAATATTAAGTGATTTCAGCAGATCTTTTCTACAGTTCTTTTATAAAATAATGAAAGAATAATAGTTACAGTTTCAGATAAAGTATCTGATACTATTTAATATCTCAGATCAGTAGAACTCTCAGAAGATTATTCTATACAGTTATTCACAGTCTGAATAATCAGTTATATACAAATTATACATCTCTTGTATTATTCAGATATATAAGAATTCAGAGTGAGAGACTCAGTATTATTCACAGAATTATAGAGTATTATTATTATTAATTGAATATTCTGAGATATCAGTTCTTATATATAGTTCTGAGAAAAATCAGAGTGCTTCTTATCATACTGCTTCAGTGAATACTTGAAGAAGTTCATTGATTTGAGCTGCTATATATCATAGTTCATCTAATATAGATTCAGAAGAAGTTGAGATATCAGTGACAGTTCTAATCAGAAAAGTATATATAGTGTCATGAGCTGTTTTATCTTGATTAACTAATATCTTCAGATTCAAGAGCTGATGCTCTCAGTTCATTCAGTGAGTATCTGTTACATTGAATAGTATATCTTACTCTCTGTGGCGGGCTGCGCCCGATCAATCATATAGACTATTTCATTACACTTCACAGATTTCAACTGCTTCATTCTTGAACATGTATGCTCTGATTCTCAGCCATTCTCAATCACTGATCCTCAGCCGCCATGAACACGTACACTCCGATTCTCAGCCATTCTTGATCATCAATTCTCAGCCACTATGAACATGTATATATTCTTCCGTCCTGAAGCTTCACTGCATACATCATCACATATGTATATAAATATTCACTTTAATCACTGATTCTCATACTTTCTCTTTCTTTTCCTTGCTGCAGAGCCTGATTCAATTAATCATTTAATTATTCAAAACACATATTCCTACTTGAAGAATGAATATTTTGAGCTCTTTTTCAATCTCTTAAGAAATGATTATCATTCTGAATGCTGAAGAGAAGCTACTGAAGTAATCCTGGCAAAACCTAATAGAAAAGCTTCAGTTTCTAAGTCATATAGAGTAATATCTCTGTTGAACTGTTTAGAAAAAGTTCTAGAAAAGATAATAGCTATTAGATTATCTTTTATAAGCTCTATTAGTGATTCTCTTCTATTTAAGAAACAAATGAGAGATAGAAAACAATGTTCTGCAATTGACACTGTTCTCTCAGTTATTCATGATATTCAAGTAGCAAAGTATGAAGGCCTAGTCTCAACTGCAGTTTTTATTGACATAAAAGATGCATTTGATCATGTTTCAAAGTCTAAGATGATTCAAACTTTGAAGATGTTAAAACTGTCACTTTCTCTAATAAAATGAGTTGATTGTTTCATGTCTAAAAGAATTATACAACTATTCTTTGATGGAAGAAAACAAGATAAAACTGAGATAAAAATAGAAGTATTACAAGGATCTTCAATCTCATCTGTTTTATTTGCAATATACACTGCATATTTATTCAAGAATAGAGAGATGAAAATAGTGAGATCTTCAAGTTATATAGATAATATTGATCTACTCTACAGTTCAAAGACAATCAAAGAGAATTTAAAAGTGATTAAGAAAGCAGTAAAGAAAATCTTTGTTAGAGCAGATATCAATCTAATTCAATTTAATATGAATAAAACTGAGTTAATTCACTTTTTTTTCAGATTTAATGAGAAAGAACTAAGTCTAACTCTTCTGAATAAAGAGATTAAACCCAGTTTGAATGTCAAATGACTAGGAGTATGGTTAAACTCCAAGATGAATTTTAAATATCATATTCAATAAAGAATTATCAAGACAGAGAGACTACTGAATAGCATAATCAGACTATCAAATACTGAGAGAGGTCTATCTTTTCAGGCTATGAGATAGTTATACATAGTCTGTATTATCTCAGTAGCTGATTATGAAGTTCAAGTTTAAT